AGCAAAACAATCACCAATGCAAGGGCAAGGGAGCAATGTCTTGTGTAAATCTATTAAGTTACCATATCACAATCACAAGATATATTGTTCTGCCCAGCTCCGTATCCCTGTCAATAGTTGTCGCCTGGTGGAAATTTTTAGGGTGCCGCAAGTTACTGCCGCCTGTGATAAGTAAATTCGGTTTCAAGTGGAAATATATTTTATTTCCTCGTGTGTTTTCAATAGCGGAAACATTCTTTGAGGTTCATAATAAAATACCCGAAAGAAACGACCAGCTATAAAACACTTTTTAGCACCTCAAAGTAGGAGAACATTCCTTACATTTTAACAACTCTGCCAACAACGCCTTTGTTAGGTTTAAACACCCATTACTGTCACTTTCCTTGTTAACCTTAGTGACTTTTATTTATCAGTTTTGTGAAACAACCTATTAGCACTAAATTAAACTCCGAAAAACAAAACTTGTAGGTTTATGCCGAATAGTTAACTTGATGGCAGCTCCTTTCGGTTTCAGCTTTCATTTAAACATTTTTTTAATATTTGCTGTTTTAGTGCGGCTATAAAAATCAACTTTAATTAGAATGAAAAGCAATACTACGCTTCTCATAATCTGGTTGTTGCTCCGCACTGCTCTGCCTGGGTGGGTGTTGTTTTCGCTTTTTCCCCTGGCGTCGGGGGGTCGTTAATTGAATACGAGTACTAAATTGCACACTCGGCGTGTGAGTAATGCCGAATAAAACTCTCTTGGAACAGCTGTTGGCTGGAGTCGCACAAAGTTTACAGAATATATTATTGGCAATTTAAGCAAGTATTTAACATACTTCCGATTGAATGGCACCGCATGTCAAGATCCCATTATCACACATATGTATAACAGGCATTTAATAACCGCCGATTACCCCAATTAGCAGCACATGGTCCCATGATAACCTCCATTTGTGTGCTTAAGCTGTTAGCAGGGAACTCTGATAAAACATCATACTTATCACTGCACTGGGGATGTAGGTTTAACGCTGATTTTGTAATTTGTAATAAAACTACTTCATTCAGTGCTAACTATTAAGGAAAATATTTGACAAAAGTAGGTTAAGGCCTAATATTATTATTGATTTTTCTTGAATCAATTTTGTGCTTCATCTCCTCATTCATTACATTGAAATATAAACAAAATTAGAATTTGCGTTGTTAACATTCTCTTTATTTATTCCAGAGCATTACCATACCCGAGCCCGAACCGGAACCAACTGGCGGACACATCAAGCTGGGCTGGATTGTCGGCGTCCTGATACCATGTCTCCTCAACATCTGGGGCGTCATGCTCTTCCTGCGCCTCAGCTGGGTGGTGGCCGAGTCCGGCATCTTGCAGTCGCTGATTATAATTACGATCTCGGCGGTGGTCTGCGTCATCACGACGCTCTCGCTGTCAGCCATTAGCACCAACGGCGAGGTCAAGGGTGGTGGCGTCTACTTCATCATATCCCGTTCGCTGGGGCCCGAGTTCGGGGCGTCGGTGGGCGTGGTATTTGCCTTCGCCAACGCCGTCTCAGCCTCAATGAACACCATCGGTTTCTGCGAATCGCTAAATGTTTTGCTAAGTGAGTATCAATTTTGGAAACGTTCCAGAGTTAATTAAATTGAATAGATAAATAATTATTGGTTATAATCAATAGGAATACACAGCTAAAATGTAAATTAAATGTAATTGTGCAAAGTAAACATCTTCACTAAAATATAATTATATATATTTACATTAAAAAATTATTATATTTAATATATATTTCTTATTTACCTATGTTTCTCCCAGAAAACAACGGCTTGAAAATCGTGGACAATGGCATTAACGACATCCGTATTGTTGGTTCGGTCACCGTTTTGGTTCTCATCCTGATCTGCTGCGTGGGCATGGAGTGGGAGACTAAGGCCCAAAACTTTCTCATCGTCACTATTGTCCTGGCCATCTTCAATTTTATCATCGGAGCTGCCATAGGACCCAATGGCAATGAGACTCTTATATCCAAGGGCTTCGTGGGCTTCTCCTGTAAGTTATTTAATTTCCACCAGGAGGGCTCTTCTATAGCATATGACTTATTTCAGGGGATACGTTCAAGGAGAACTTCGGTTCGGACTATCGGTATGCGGAGGGCGTAAACCACGACTTCTTCAGCGTGTTCGCCATCTTCTTCCCTAGCGTGACAGGCATCCAGGCGGGCGCCAACATCTGTGGAGACCTCAAAGATGCCGGTGCAGCCATTCCCAAGGGCACTTTCTGGTCGCTGCTCATTTCGATGACTTCTTACGCCCTCTTCGTGCTCTTTGCCGGCGGCGCTGCTGTAAGGGATGCCTCTGGCATTCCCGGTGACCTGGTCAATGGCACCATCATCCCCTCGGAACTGCCCTGCATGACCACCGGCAACTGCACGTGGGGTCTCTTCAACTCCTACGAGATGATGCAGGAGATGTCGCTGTGGGGACCGCTGATCTATGCCGGCTGCTTTGCGGCCACACTGAGCACGGCTCTGACCAATCTCCTGTCCGTTCCCCGATTGGTGCAGGCTTTGGGCATTGACCAGATCTATCCGGGCCTGATCTTCTTCTCGAAACCGTACGGCAAGCACGGCGAGCCCTACCGCGGCTATGTGCTCACCTTCTTCATCTCCACGGGCTTCCTGCTGATCGGAGAGCTCAACCTGATAGCTCCACTGATATCCACCTTCTACCTGGCCTCGTATGCCCTCATCAACTTCTGCACATTCCACGCGGCCTTCGTGAAGCCACTGGGATGGCGACCCACCTTCAAGTACTATAACGCCTGGATCAGTCTATTTGGATTCGCCATGTGCGTGGCCATTATGTTCCTAATCAACTACGTGGCTGCTATTATCACCTTTGGCATCATCTTTGCCCTATACCTGGTGGTTATGTACCGGAAACCAGAGGCGAACTGGGGATCCACCACGCAGGCTCAACAGTACAAGGCTGCTCTGATGGCGGTCACTCGGCTGCAGAACGTGTCGGATCACGTAAAGAACTACCATCCGCAGGTGCTGGTGCTCTCCGGAGATCCAAAGACTAGGCCACCACTGGTGGACTTTGGCTATCTGCTCACCAAGAACAACTCCTTGATGTTTGTGGCTAACATTATACCGGTAAGTTTACACAAAAAGATAACCTAGGCTGTAAGCTGCTGGGAGTAAGAATGATCTTAGGTTGGAATTAATGTAAAACTTATTTCTCTGCTACAGGTGCGAGTCGGCTACAAGAACCGCCAGAACCTGGTTAAAGATGGCCAAAAGTATCTGGATGCCCGCAAGATCAAGGCGTTCTACAATGTGATCGACGGGTTTAGTCTAGAGGATGGAATCAATGCCCTGACCAAGTCCACAGGCTTCGGAAAGATGTCCCCAAACATAGTGTTGGTGGGATACAAGCCGGACTGGAATCGCTGCCGAAAGGAGGAGGTGGAGAGCTACTTTTCCATTTTGTAGTAAGTAGAGCTTAAGGTTTACTTACATCCTGAGTGAATACTAACTTGAATTCCCTTTAGCAATGCCTTCTCGCAGCGAATGGGCGTAGCCCTGCTCCGCCTTCCCAATGGATTAGACTTTTCCGAGCTGAGTTCCGAGGTCACATTGCCGGCCAATGGAATGGGTCACATGCACACGGCCAATGCCCAGGGCTTCACCAATGAACTAATGCCGGCAGCCAATGCCGCCTCAGAGCTGCTGCACATTGACTCCAACCTGAATCTGGCCGGAATGGACAGTCCAAACTCTTCGTTCACAATGCCCCAGCCGGCGCCGATGCCCAATATGCAGCGCAACTCCCGCAGCTACAAAGTGAACAGCACCGATGAACCGGCCGTGACCTATCACACCAAGGGAGGATCGGACATTCCGCAGAACCTCCTCGATGCCATGACCATCTTTACAAGGAAGCAGGCCAAGGGAACCATTGATGTATTTTGGCTGTACGATGACGGAGGTGCGTGTTCATGTTTATCTATCCTCGGGGAGGCCTTTTGTAATCCTTCCACGTGAATGCAGGTCTCACCATTCTCCTGCCCTACATCATCTCCATGCGTTCCCACTGGCAGAACTGCAAGCTGAGGGTATTCGCCATGTGCCACGGCAAGGACGAGGAGCAGGAGGAGAAGAGGTAAAGCTATACTCACTGGATTTAATCATATTAACTATAACATCTTGAATGCTCCACAGCATGGCGAGCCTGCTGACAAAGTTCCGCATCAAGTACTCGGAGCTCATCATGCTGAAGGGTGTCTCCGAGCAGCCGCGGGCAGACACGCTGCTGAAGCACAAACGCCTGATCGAACCCTTCCGTCGCGGAGCCCGAAACGAGTTCGGCATCACGGACGATGAGCTGCAAAGCATGGCCGATAAGACGAATCGGCAACTGCGCATCCACGAGCTGGTGGTCAAGCACTCGTCCAATGCGTCTCTGGTTGTCATGTCCCTGCCCATGCCCCGCAAAGTAAGCGAAGTTATAATGATTTCCAGTATAAAGCCTTACTTACCTTCCCTTTTACTTTAGGAGGCGATCTCGGCGCCGCTGTACATGTCCTGGCTGGAGATGCTCACCTCGGACATGAAGTGTCCGGTGGCTTTGGCCCGTGGTAACCAGACGCCCGTGCTGACGCTCTACTCCTAGATTAGGCCCTCGCTTCCAGTACGAGTACAACTTAGTATTATTAGCGTTTAGGTGTTCCGCATAGTTCCCTCGTAGAATCGAGCTCATCCCTGGAGTATGAGTCGGACTTGTGACAGTCAGTCCACTTGAAGTTGAATTCCAGAGCCCAGACTCTAGCTCCCAGAGCCTCCGCTATTCACGTACTCTTTTACATGAGCGAACTCCTAAACCCTTGACGATAGAAACTAGTGAAGTTTGTGTGAAATATATCTCACATACGTAGGATGTGTCTCACATGCAATAGCTTTAAGTTAATTATGATCTATTCGGAATAAATATAAACGATTTAATTACAATTGTTGTTCCCATTGTTTAATTTGAACAAGGCTTTTATTCATCGAGAGATGTGCAAGCTAAGCCTAAAAGTGTTTACAATACATTTGGAACCCACTTGGACGTGGCTGCTAGGTAGTAGAGATGCTGCATTAGTAGTATGCGCGACGGGGATTGTTCTGCAAGGGAAAACATTGATTATCAATATACCTTGAATAAATATCTCGGATTCCTTACCAGGGGATTGGGACGAAAGCGATAGGCCAGCATCATGCGCTTCCTGTAGGCATCGTATTCATTGTCGCAGTCCTCCGGCTGGGCAGCGCTGCTTACTCCCAGACCCTGATTTCCATCGCGTTGAGGGGCCCTGTTAGATATATACACTACTATATATCATTTCCGAATTCGCAACCAAAGACTTACTTGTTGACGGGATCCACAATACCGGCTCCGTCCTGGCCCAGACCCTGGCCCTCCTTCCAGCCGAGCTTCTGCAGCATTTGAAATCCAATGTTGTCCTCCTTCAGTTTGTACTCTTTGTAGTCGCTTAGGTCGGGCTGTCGATTATTCTTCTTCGCTTCGTACTGCTCCATGAACTTCTTGAGCTCCTCAGGCGGCAAGAAGTCGCCGATGTGATGCTTTCCCTCACTTTGTTTGGTTAGGGCATTGGCCCACAACGAGGTGGCCTCCATTTCAGCTGTGCGTAGCTTGTGCTCCCACGTTCCGCCCTCAATGTCCTCGTCTGAGTCGTACTCGTACTTGAATTTGCCACCGCGGGCCAAACGATCTATCTCCTGCCGCTTACGCATCATGTCCTGGTACAGCAGGTTGACCTTGTAGTGCTCCTCGCATTGCTTCCACTGCTCCTCGGTCAGCTGGGTGGAGCCATAGTTGAGGCGAGCATACTGCAAGAGTGCGGGATCGGTGCGAGTGATGCTGGATAGCACGGGCTTGTTTTGGTTTCCAAAATTGCCAGAGGTGCCTAGTTAATATCATGAAAATGAAACCATAAATTGTTTGTATCTAAAGTACTCATAGATCATAAATTTAAGTGATTTTTAAATTAAAAAAATAAAAATAATCATTATTTACGGTTTCCAAAACTAGAATTTTTATACTCACTTGAACTGGGCAACTGCTGCTCTTTCTCTCCCCAGCGGCTCTTGCGCTCTCGTTTCCTACGCTGCCTCTGCGACTCCTTATCCTCCTGCTCATCCTGGTCGTCCGCATCGTCTCGGCCACCGGCAGCGGCCGACTCTTCTCGCTCGCGTCGCTCCTCGTCACTCAGCTCGTTGCGACACTCGATCCGGCGCTTGATATTATCCCGGTTGCGATCCATCATGCCGCGCATATACTCGTCATCCGAATCGAAATCCGCACTGATGGCCGATTCCGGATCGTATTTGTCAGCCGCCGAGTTGCTGTTTTGCTCCTCGTTTTGGGGCTGTTGCTGTTGCTGCTGCTCCTGCTCCTGAGCCAGACTTAGCTGCTGATGCTGTCGCTCCCGTTGCCGCTCGATCCGCTGGCGTTCGTAGTCAAGGAGTTGGGATCGATAGCTTCGATACTGCTCGCAGTTCTTATCATAAAGAAACCTAGTATCAAAATTTAAAAGAAGTGAAACGTACAATGAAAAGTGCTCGACGCTAGTCACGTGTGTACAAAGACATTATATGAGTAACTGTTTGAGGCGCCGCCCCATTAGCGGTTTATAGTGTGCTTTCGGCCGGCTCCTCCAGATTATTTGACGACGATCGAGGAACGGGTAATCACTGTGCTTTCGACGAGTCCACGCAAATGCTGTGCCCTGCCTAATTCTCTTTCTATCAGCCCCAAATAATATGTTGTCGGTTCGTTTGGTCTAATCAAAACTTAAGAGCTTCTTCAAGGATTTAAATTGTAGCTGAACCTGCAAGGATTTGCCTGTCTTCACTTCATAAAATTAAAATATATAAACTGAGGTATCTATTAACCAACTTTTCAAGCTTTCAAAAACAAATAAAACTGTTGAGAACAGGCAAATAAACTTTAAATAAAACTGAATTACCGTCCTAGCTTTAAGTACAAGGTGATATTTTTGGACTAGCAAAGTGTCTAGATTCGCCAAAGACAAGCCGAACAATTTGCTAATTAAAACTCAGCTGTATGTGTGCAAATGAAAGAAAAACTTAAGCTTGTAGTCCCACACCCCCTTTGTCGCTAGTTATGTATTCCCTTGGGCCCCCGTTAAAACAAGTTCAGGTCATTTACCACAGGGCCGGATGCAACTCGCTTCTATGCAAACGTATTTTATCTTCATAATCTTCACCGTTTTCCGCGACCAGTGCGATTAGGTTTTCTAAGCACGTTGGCAATTGTATGCACGTTTCTGAAAAAACTACATAAATTGCTTTAAAATCGTGCTCAACGATTAAAGTTCGATACAAATTGAATGAGTGGGAAAGTAAGTGGGAGAATAGGATAGGGTTGGGATAAGGAAAGAGGATCTGTGTGGATAGGAAATGGCAGATGGCACAACAGAACAAAAGACGTAAGTCGCTTCGTAAACGATACACACCTTGGGGCGGGATTACTGCGGGCTGTGCAGGCTCCGGTGGCTGAGGTGGCATCACCTGCTGCATCTGTTGCTGCTCCTCCTGCACGGGCGGCGGCGGAGGCGGTGGGTGGGCATTGACTGCAGCTGCCATATGCTCGGGCAGCAGGCCAAGCTGCTCCGCTGTATGACCGCCTATTGTGGGCATCTGAATGGCCTCCAGGTTGATCTGCGGCTTGGGAATGGCGTTCAAGTCGAACTCCTTGGGCGCCGGTATAGCATTTAGCTGCTGCAAGGCCTCCACTGGCGACGGGCCAAGCTGCATGTATATTTGTCCCATATTGGCAAGGGCAATGGGCAGCTGTGGCGGAGGTGGTGGCGGTGGCGGAGCCACTGCGGCCGGATGCAGCTGCAGGGGCAGGTGGCCGTGGAAGAAAGCAGCTGGCAGCTGCATTTGTGGTGGTCCCTGGGTTAACAGCGCGGGATTAAAAGCGAACGGCGGTGGTGGCGGCGGTTGCACGGCCTGGACAGGCAAGCCGAAAGCCAGATGAGTGGGCGCCGAACTGGTCACCGTAATAGAGGTGGCCATCGCTGCCGCCGAGCTAATGGCAATGGCTGCCTCCAGCTGCGGGCTGCTGTTCTCCGGGGCGTGTGTCTCCAAGGCATTGTTCTCCTCCCCGCTGCAATAGAAAAATTGTTTAGGGTTCCCTTCAAGCGTTAAATGAGTACCCACCTGGGCACTGGAGCGGGTGCCACTAGCATGGGTGGCGGCGGTTTCTCGTGCTTTTCGAGTATTTTTTTAAAGTTCTCCAAGAAGGAACCATCGTTGCAAAAGGTGTTCTTAACCTTAGGGGGCGGCTGCTCCACACTGGGCTGTGGCAGCTGTTGACGCTTTAGTCCGAATGTAATCTTTCCCGTCTTTCCGGTGAAACTATTGAGCGTCTTATGTGCCACAGAGTCTTCCACCTTAGCCTTGCCGGCTGGGGCCTCGCTGGGGCCCACCTCCAGGCCATTCCCCTCCTCGCCTATTGAGGCCACTGATGTATCCAAGGCAGCGGAGTCCTGCTGATGATGTTGCTGCTCATCCTCCTCCTCCTCGTCGTGGGCGACTGCTTTTACGGATGGCGTCTCCGTTTTCTGCAGCGCTGCCAGGTTTTGGGCCGCGGCCACCGCCTTGGCCAGCTGCGCAGTCTTCTGCTTCTCGAGGATTTCCTGCCGCTTCTTGGCAATGATCTCCTCCTGCTTCGTCATTTGAGCGAAGCGGTCCACTCGGTGATTGCGTTGTGACATAATTCCCTGCTTCGCCCGATTTTTATGAGAATTTTCTTATACAGCTAAGCAGCAGTGTGGCCAGATTATATAAATGTGATAACAAAACCTCGGCCTGGCCAGAAATCCCAGTGGATATTTTCAGAAATTAAAAAATACTAAATTAATTTAACAACACCTAATTGCAGTTTAAAAATATTTAAAAATAAATAATGAATTTATTTCATTATTTTTACAAAAATATAAACAAAAAATACTGCTTGAACGAGACGTTTACAATTGATTTACAAAGTAAAAGACATAAAACAAGTTTTAATTTTTAATGAAACATGAAAATGTACATAGTAATTATTCCAACAACTAAAAACAAAAAGCATGGAATTAAAAAAAATAATAATAAAAATAAAACTACAGTTTCTATGGCCGCAATATTAAAATGCGCCTTTATTAAGATCAATTTTCAAAAACACCCATATGTAGAGGAATTGATGGCAATAACAATGGATTTGAACAGGATAAACGTAGAATTTTTTAAGAACACTGAATATACAGGAGATTAATTGTATACTTGTTATTTAAACACCAATTGGTATAACTATTGGACGTACCCAGTAACACATTTGACTTTGGCAGTGCTCAAATTAGTGGAACAATTCATATACGTTTAATTAATTTAATTTTAAGCAGAATAAATTCGGTTAAGCCACTTTGGGAGAAACACCATATAGTATATAATAAATTTTGTTTATAAATTTACCTAAATGCTCCTAAAAATACATGTCGCTAATAGCTGGATTAAATATGTTGGTTAGGGAAATATGACTTTTTTTATAATTAACTAATAGTACTTGGGTACAATCAATCCTTTTAACATATCGAAGCTATTGCCATCGGGTTGCACCGTTTCGATGTTGCCAGTGGGTAATTTAACCTTTAAGAAGCCAAACTCATCGATTCCCACAATTTCCGCTTCCCTTTCCTGTTCATTTTGAAGGCAAATCTTGACGGATTGACCACTGAAAAATAAAATTATTTATTACAGATATTTGTTTGCAGGAAGATTAGTCATTTTACCTGTGTAGCCAGAGAGAGTAGTACAAAGCATAAAAGCTATCAAAATCTCCGTTTTGTACTTCGCCCAAAAGTCTTTCGATTTCATTAAAAATCCTGGCAATAAATATCTCATATTTAAGTACAGGTAGCTGGTTATTTGGAGTACGGGCATTATGTTCGCGTATCAAATCGTTAATGCAAACCGTTGGCTTTGAATTATTCAAATTGATACCGCTACCGATGTTAACGATTGCCTGTGAGCCTTGTAGGGTGGTATTAATGACGAGGCCACCGATTTTTTGGTTCCCATTTGCATAAATGTCGTTGGGCCATTTTATGGATATATCCAGTACCTGGATTATAAAGGAAAACATTATTTTTTTAATTTCAAATTTTAAAATATTTAATAACTGATTTATAAATATAAAAATATTCAAAATTTAATTGAAATATGATTTTTTTTATGTAAAAAATTAAACAAAAAACAATTAAGGAATTATTAAAAACTATTTCCATTTCCTTGGTATCCCTAACGGTTCTATTTGCGGTATATCTAAAGTTTTAACAGCATTTTTTAGTACTTTTCGTCTAGCCGTGCTGCGAACGGCGTAGTAACGAACGGTCACACTGGCTCCCTGCGCTGCACTTGGTGTAGAGAAATTTCAACAACAGCAGCAGAAACTATAAAAATTATCGCATTTTTCGCCTTGTTGTTCCGTCTCGAGTTGCGGGCGTGTATGTGTGAGCGCCGGAGTAGCAGCAGCGAACGCCAAGGTCGACGGAATCGGGCCAGAATGCAGAGCGGAGCCCCGGCAACTGGTGCCACCGAATCGTCGAGTCCCAGTGAGTTCGTCTGAAAAAATCAATCGGATTCCGCCGAGAATGAGCAGGATGAGCAGCAGCGCCGCCCAGATGGCCGCGGGGGTCGTCGGCCATGGGAGCAACAGCAGCAGCAGCAACAACAACGCCCACGACTCCAGCAATGCCAACGAGCCCGGCTCCGGTTCCGTGTCCGTCGACAGCAACCTGATCATCATTCAGGACATGATTGATCTCTCGGCCAACCACTTGGAGGGCCTGCGCACGCAGTGCGCCACCAGCTCGACGCTAACGCAGCAGGAGATTCGCTGTCTGGAGTCCAAGCTGGTGCGCTATTTCTCGGAGTTGCTGCTGGCCAAGATGCGGCTCAATGAACGCATTCCGGCCAACGGTCTGCTACCCCACGCCACGGGCAACGAGCTGCGCCAGTGGCTACGGGTAGTTGGCCTCAGCCAGGTGTCTCTTAACGCCTGCCTCTCCCGCCTGACCACGCTGGAGCAGAGTCTGCGGCTCAGCGACTCGGAGATCCGTCAGCTGCTGGCCGACAGCCCCAGCCAGCGGGAGGAGGAGGAACTGCGGCGCTTGACGAGGGCCATGAAGAACCTGAAGAAGTGCATGGAGTCCCTGGAGAGCGGCACTGCGGCGAGTAACAACGACCCGGAGCAGTGGCACTGGGACTCCTGGGACCGGCCCATTCACACTCACCGCGGCAGCATTGGTAATATAGGATTGGGTCTAAATGCAACCGCCTCACCGCGAGCCAACCACCGCCAGCACGGTATCAAAGGGAAGAACACAGCTTTAACGAACTCAACTAGCTCGCGAAGTGGCCGCCATTCGCCCACGGGAACTGAGGAGCTCACCAGCACGCAAGGCTCCCAACTGACCTTGACCCTGACGCCCTCGCCACCCAACTCGCCCTTCACGCCCTCCAGCGGTTTGAGCAATAGCCTGAATGGAACCCCGCAGAGAAGCGGCACACCGCCACCCGCAAGAAAGCACCAAACCATGCTCAACCAGAGCCAGATGCCGGTGGAAGGGGAACAACAACAAACCCGCAACCGCTTGCCTACGGATCCCAGTCCCGACAGCCACAGCTCCGGGAGTTCCGACATTTTCGTAGATGCAAACACCAATGCCACCTCAGGAGGTAGCTCCTCCAACGTGTTAATGGTGCCACACTCGCCCGGCGTCGGCCACGTAGGCATGGGCCATGACATTAAGCATGGCTTCACCGGCAGGGTCGGCCTAATGACCACTTGCCGGCTGTGCCAGAAGCCGGTCTTCTCCCGCTGGCTCAAATGTACGTATTGCAAGTACATCTGCCACAAGACATGCGAGCCACACGTGCCGAACTCCTGCGGACTTCCCCGAGAGTATGTGGATGAGTTCCGGCACATCCAGGAGCAAGGTGGATATGCCAGCCTGCCACATGTGCACGGCGCCGTTAAGGGCTCACCACTGGTGAAAAAGAACACGCTGTGCAAGCCGCTTCATCATCAGCATGGCGACAGCAGTTCCCCAAGCTCCAGCTGCACCAGCTCCACGCCCAGCAGTCCGGCGCTATTCCACCAAAGGGAACGAGAGCTGGAGCGGGATCAGGCGGGAAGCTACGGAGGCAGCAGTTCCAGCGCTAACCTGGTTCCCACTCCTTCGTTGGGCAAGCATCAGCAGAGTCAATTCAACTTCCCCAATGTGACGGTGACTGGTAGTGGTGGAGGGGACACGCTTATTTCCAATGAACCTGAACCAGACCAAGCCCCTCCCCCGCCCATAACTGCAAACGGAGGTCTAGATAGTCTGGTGAACAGCTCCAATGGGCACATGAGCCATCTAATCGGTAGCCAAAGCTCAAATGCTTCGAGTTCCGCCACCGTGACCGAGAGTCTGGTCAACAGCACCACTACCACCAGCACTAGTAGCTTCTTTCCGCGCAAACTGAGCACGGCAGGAGTGGATAGAAGAACGCCCTTCACCAGCGACTCCACGGACACGCACAAGTCGAATGACAGCGACAAGACTGTCTCCCTGTCGGGAAGTGCCAGCACAGACTCGGACCGGACTCCCGTTCGAGTGGATTCCACGGAGGATGGCGATTCGGGACAGTGGCGCCAGAACTCCATATCGTTGAAGGAGTGGGATATACCGTACGGCGACCTGCGTCTGCTTGAGCGGATCGGGCAAGGACGCTTCGGCACCGTGCATCGAGCCCTGTGGCACGGAGATGTGGCCGTGAAGCTGCTAAATGAGGACTACCTGCACGACGAGCACATGCTGGAGACGTTCCGCAGCGAGGTGGCCAACTTCAAGAAGACTCGCCACGAGAACCTGGTGCTTTTCATGGGCGCTTGCATGAATCCGCCATATCTGGCCATTGTGACTGCATTGTGCAAGGGCAACACCCTGTACACGTATATCCACCAGCGCCGCGAGAAATTTGCCATGAACCGGACGCTGTTGATCGCCCAACAGATCGCCCAGGGAATGGGCTACCTGCACGCCCGCGAAATCATCCACAAAGACCTGCGCACCAAGAACATCTTCATCGAGAATGGCAAGGTCATCATCACCGACTTCGGCCTGTTCAGCTCCACCAAGCTGCTCTACTGTGATATGGGCCTGGGGGTGCCCCACAACTGGCTGTGCTACCTGGCGCCGGAGCTCATCCGAGCGCTGCAGCCGGAGAAGCCGCGCGGCGAGTGCTTGGAGTTTACCCGCTTCTCCGATGTGTATTCTTTTGGAACGGTGTGGTACGAACTGATTTGCGGCGAGTTTACGTTCAAGGATCAGCCGGCGGAATCGATCATTTGGCAGGTGGGACGTGGAATGAAGCAATCGCTGGCCAACCTACAATCCGGACGCGATGTCAAGGACCTGCTGATGATGTGCTGGACCTACGAGAAAGAGCACCGGCCGCACTTTGCCTATCTGCTGACCCGTCTAGAGCAGCTTCCCAAGAAGCGACTGGCACGGAGCCCCTCGCATCCCGTCAACCTCTCCCGATCCGCGGAGTCCGTCTTCTGAGCGAGCTGCCTGCACCCTGCCCTGGCTACTATTGTTGCATTCTAGTACAATTACGACTACACAAGCTAGCTCTCCTTCCGACAGGTAAACTCTTCTAGGCAAACTCTAAACTGTGCTAGGCAAGCGATTATTGTAAATATTTAAAGGCGTAACTAACAAATTATAGCAAACGATTTTAAACTATAAATAATGTACATGAACGCATATATCGAATGCAATGCAGTTGTGAGCAAGCAAAACAAAAAACAAAGGCAACACAAATGTTAACTCGAAAAAGACAAACGTTTAGATCTTAAAGAGCCGAGGCGAAGCAGAGAAAGTATAGACATAAAGCAAGCAAACAAGAAAGCACTGTGGCAAATACATATGTATATCTGTAAACGTTAATCAGGTGAGCAATTTCTATATTGTTAATTATGTGTAAGCAAAGCTCTATCCATATATGTACGTACTATGTGTGTACACAGATGTGTATTCGGGAGGTTAGTGTTTAAACAAATATACTTGTATTGTGCATTATGTATGGTCGAATGTATATAGCAAACGGAGTTTAAATGAGAAATCCAGCAAAATGTCAAATAAACTTATCACTAAAGCCAAATTAATCGGAACGATGTTTGCCCTGGGACTGGGGATTGGGAATACGATTCCAGAAATGTATATCAGGTCGGGCATCGAATTTCAAGCTCGGAGCGCGTGACTTTCCCAGGGTTCGTCAATGGATAGATCGATACATCGATGTTTTTTTTTTTTAATTTTTAGCCAAATCGATTATGGAGGTTTTTATAAGAAAGGACGCCTCTTACCAAATTGAAAAATAAAATGAAAATGTACACTGCCCTGGCAGCTAGTATTATAAATTCCAGTTACACTTTCATATTGAAGGGTTTCGATAACTGAACAGGCGAATTGGTTACCCGATGTATCACTTACCCCGTATTGCTCATGACCACGCAACGAATTGACGATTGCTGCTCCGATTAGATGCTGCAAAAGAGGCAGCCGAGATCCCAAAGGTGAATCCATGGCCAGGTGGAGTTGTAGGGAAAACATGGCACAACCCAAGGGACTTAGCCACTAAAGGGAAATATTTTAAATTATGAATTTAAAAAGGCATATTAAAAGGCATTTAATATTAACCTGATTATTGCTTCGACCAACTCCTGCGGTCTGTTGCAGGGGAAGCACAGCCAGGCCATTGATGAGCTCCAGATTGTTAATGACGTGCATCGAACTGCTGACTACCGGTGCATAAATGACCAGGCGTCCAATGTGCTCTGTTTTCAGGTGCTATAAAATAAGTTATATAATTTGAACTGAGCTTTTAACCTATTTAACGTTCTCACATCAAAGTAGTCGACGGTGGAAAAATCGTCCGGACAGGAATGTATGAGAATCGGCAGGACATTGTTGTTGGCCACCGGTGGCTTGTCGTCCTTGCTACAGAATTTAAGCGTCAGCTTGGGCGTCGCTATGACATTATCGCTTCCGCTGCAACGCAGCCGCAACTTTTCAAGGAGCTCGAACTTAGACTGGAAGTGGAGAAAGATGGGAGAGCTGGAATATAAGTCTCATTTGATGCTCACCTCATGGCGTCCCAGAAAATAGGCATGTTTATAGACCACACCTGGCTGGGACTGATCAACGCCCTCTCCACCCTGAACCAGCACATCCAAATATTTCTTCAACAGATCCGCAAAGATCTCGAGGCGAGTGCATTCGCTTTGCTTCAGGATGGAGTACTTGGTTTCATCCGACTCAAACTCACTGGGACTGGTTTCCAAATGAACCTAATTTGAACACGAAAATTAAGTTTTGTGAAAATCGAACCCCAATTAAACTCGTACCTGAGAGAAGACAGCTTTGCCGCCACTGTGGAGGCTATGGGCCAGCATCAAGCTGGGCGTGTTCCAGGTCTCCTCGGTGCCCAGCACCTGGACGTCCAACTTGTGGATGTTACCGGCCAGATCCTTCAGTTCCAAAGACCTTGGACATACTAGAGCTCTGAGCAGCGTTTCGTGGTTCGATTTTGTTTTTTGTTTGTTTTGTTTTTGGTTTATGTTTTTTTTTTTTATTGTTTTTTTTTTTTTTTGTTAATGATAGGTAGGATTATAATAGTAATGATAGCACACAAATAGAAGCACACATAGAGGTAGATAAAAAATGGACAGGTAAAGAGGAGATCACGCAGACACAATATGGGTAACCGAAGAGTGGGTTAGGAATGTCAAGCAGAGGATAGGCTCAGAGTATCCGATAATTGCAGAATAATATTGATTAAATTGAGTGGGAATAAGTCTTAATGAAAGCACAGTTGATGCACACCGAATTGAATAGAAAAAAAAGCATTTACAGAGGAAACAAAGCCAATTTGAGCATGAAACATTTAAGAAAACGAGAATAGGAATTAGTTAGAAATCATTTTAAAGTAGCACGATTATTTAAAAATAAAAAGGGAAATACATTTTAAGAATTTAGGCCTTTTCAAGGACTTAAATTCAGTAATTTAGTTTCCAGATGTGTACTATAAAATATTTTTTTAAATAAAATCTAAACAAATCAGAGCTGCCACAGGAATCGTAAGGGTTTTGTTTAATTAATTAATGTTAAATATATCGCGATCAAAATGTATATTATTGAAAATATCTTAATTTGCTATACAGGAAAATCAAATTAAAATTTTTGTGCTGAAATATGTCTTTTTATATTTTTAGATATCCTATTAATTGATTTTAAACCCATATATTCATAAAATCTTAAATTAAATTATTAAAAAATCAAAAATAAAAGCTTTCACTAAAATGTATTTTCCCTTTAAGTGTGCTCATAGCAAATCGCTTTCGATTGGGTGTAGAAAACATGCAAAATAGAGGATTCCAGTATACTCTTATTTTATTATACGGTTATTTTTCTATCAAAAAGATAGGCAAGGTTAGCTATATGTTTTAGGGCCTGTCAGTCTGCTGCTTCTCAGTGTGTTTTGGGAAACGCAGTGGAACTAACTTACGGTTTGCGAGAATGTGATTTGGTGGACTCCTCGCTGTCGGTCGAGAAGTGCTTCTTCACGGGCGAAGGTTGGTAGCAAAATATGTGATGCATCATCTTGACCCGATGCCATTTGTCGTAGGAGAACTGAACCAATTCGTGCTCGCGCACCTAAAAGCGAAATATTTCTTAAGATGAGATTTTCAAGATTTACCATTTTGCTTTGATCTCACCTCAGCTGTGCGGTAGTTTGGCAGGATAAAGTGCAATATGTCCGAGCACAGGCTGAGTACCTTGCCGCCCTGCAGAAAGTAGTCCACCAGTATCTGGCCAATTCCTGGCGCCACCGAGCCGCAGACTACCAACAGCGCAGTATGCTCGGTCCAGTGCTTCTGGGCGGCCTGCTGTGGCATTAGCGGATAGATGGTATACACATTTCGTTCCAGCAGCTGCTGCAAAGTCGCCAGTGTGGATTCCCGTGCACTGGCACTATCCGAATAAACCAAAACATTTAGGGGCTTACTCTCCTGCAGGCTATCCTTGTTACGACGCAACACTGGGCGCGAGGACGTGGTACCTCCAGCTGCTGGTGGTGAACTCAAAGGCTTTACAACCTCAAACGTTTTGGCAGCCTTCACGGGTTCAGAAGCTGGTGAAGATTTTACAGGTTCAATGCCTTTACTCGGTGTACTTGGCTTACTCAAAGGAGTAGTCTTTATAGGCGTGATTTCCACTTTTTCGATCTTTTGCAGTTGCGCCGCCTGGGCAGCCGCAATCTTCTCCAATTCGCTTGGCTTCGACTCTTTACTAGGCGCAGATTTGGAGTCTTCTTTGGTTGGCAAGCTTTTGCTTTTATTCGGAGTTGATTTGGCCTCGCTTTTAGCAGGAGAATCTTTAACATCATATTTCGAGGGTGTGGGTGTGGCCTTGACATCGGTTTTGGGCAAACCTGCTGATATCCTTGCCGGAGACAGAGACGCTTTATTAGTGGGTTCCACCACGGCCACCGCCTTGGCTACGGGCTCAGAAGGCGGGCGATTATCGAGTCCCTGAAGATCCGATTTCGACTTTCCCTCGGAGCGATTACGTTGGTACTCAAACTCTGTGGCCTGGTGGGCTAGTACACCGACTGCTCGCAAATCCTCCAAGTGCTTCTTCCAGCCCTCCTTGTCCAGTTCCAAGGTTGTCCGGGACTGTCGCTTCAAGTGTTTGGCCAGCAACTCGAACGGCTGTGGATCCCCTTCCCGCTGCACCGCTGGAATCGAGATAATTGCACATTAATGGACATATAACGTAAATGACTTGGTTCAGGGACGATATTTCATTTCCAGCTTACACTCAATCCGCATCAGGGGCAGCTGATCGTTAATGCATAAATTATTTCGCAAAAATGTCGTTATCAACAGTTGGGTGAAGTGCTCTACATCGGTCTCGATGAGCACAGCCAGGTGGGAGTCAATTTTCCATGCAATTAGCTTACCGTAATCTTCCAGCTGATTCATGGGCAGCCGTCATGCAAGGAGAAGAAGAGAAGGTGACACTAGGTTAGCAGCAGCTCTTTGACGCCGGCTCCATATCGATTAAACTATCACTTGGACCGGCTACATCCTAATCACATTAACGCACGCAACACCACCAACATTGTGGTAGGCTGGCTTCAGCGGGTAAGTTATTACACTCAACATAAAAGCCAACCTTTCTGAACCTTTTACGTTGATTGGATGATGTAAAGAACTAATAGGGAAGTGTTCTCTCTTTTTCAGGCAATAAAATATTTAAGTTGCATTCAAAGGCAATTTCTTAACTAAACAACACCTCCCAAAACTCACCCGCACGGCTGTGGTGTCCTGCGAGCCGGGCCGGTGCAGCGGTTCCACCTGCGCCTCCAAGAGCAGCTGCATCCTACGCTCGCCCTCCTTGGATAGCGACACCCGCTGCTTCGGCGGAGCCACCGAATCGGTCGGTGTGCCCACTGGCGTCAACGTGTCGGCAGCATAGGCAAACGGCAGCAGGCTGGGAGCGGCCGGAAAGCTGATCCAGGGCGTTATGTGGAGTGTCTGCAAAGGACGAAGGCAACAGCCACGCTGGTTGCCATACAGCCACAGGATGTCGGTGACCTTGGCCGCGTTGCGGTTACCGCAAAGCTCAGAGCTGGCGAGCGCGGGATCTGCGGACAAAGGGTCTATAGTTTTACCAGATTCCAGGGAGTCCCTAACTCACCGAAGCCGTCGTCGCTTCCAGCCTGGAGGGCATAAAAGGCTATGCTTGAGGGCTGCGCCAGGTGCTCGGCGATCTTTGAACAAGCCTTCTGGATGCGCCAGGACTGCAGGACGGTGGCGCTCACGTAATACAGGGTCAACATCTTGGCGACGGGAGCTCTGCCCTAAGCCCTATTCCATCCGACGCTCCGAAAATCAATTGCGGTTTCGTAATTTGCACCGCTTAGGCGGAAAGGGAATCGGAATCAGAAGCGGAATATCGGTTGCTATGGCCAGCAGGAGCGCTCAGCGCCGTTTTCAGCGAGTTGACACACTTTTCGCATTCCCTTGCCCACTGACATTTATTGTTGATTACTGCATTCCACTAACTGCACACCCACACAGGCACAGCCGGAGCTTTATCCCGAATTTCGTCTGATAAGAAAGCGCGGCAGGCGTTTACAGCGATGGCAGCTCCGCTGCTTTCTAGCCAGATCTGGCGGGGTTAAGGCTCATCACTGGCCATCACTGGCCGACATTTTGCCATTCCGTTCGCAGAAAACACAAGCCGATTGTCATTCACCCGTCACGCCGCTTGGAACTGTTTTTAATTAGCGATTTCTAAAAAAAAGTACTTAAGCCGAGCTGCGTTGATTTAGTGGCCACGAAGCGGCATGCTGTTGGGCGAATACGACACGACCCGGCGCCTCCTGTTCATTGTGGCCGTTCTGCTGATTGTTTTGTATGCGAAGACGTACCTGCTGCCCGGCGTGGATCTGGACTACGACTAGCGGCTTGTACACCGGCCCGCGGAGCAGCAGCGATGACGGACAGACGGGTCTCCTACTTCTACAATGCGGACGTGGGTAACTTCCACTACGGGGCCGGGCACCCGATGAAGCCCCAGCGCCTGGCGGTCACGCACAGTCTGGTGATGAACTATGGCCTAGACAAGAAGATGAAGATCTACAGGCCGTACAAGTGAGTGGTCCTTTCCCGGATATCTTTGTTTTCGCACTGCAAAATGTGTCTTTTTGCAGGGCCAGCGCCCAGGACATGCTGCGCTTCCACAGTGACGAGTACATAGCCTACCTGCAGCAGGTGACTCCGCAGAACATCCAGTGCAATTGTAAGTGGACTGTATACAATGGTACCATTGACCTTTCAGTGCCAGCTTAGTGAAACCTATTTAATCCACTTGAATATGCAAATTTAAGTACAAAAATAACACTTGAAATACAAGAAATTAGGCAGCAAATATTTGCATTATTCATGAAAGTCTCTTTTGTGTTCCATTTGCAAATAATTCAGGATAGATTAGAATATAAACTTAAAAGTTCCCCCTTTCGCTTTCAGCCGTGGCCTATACCAAGTATCTGGCCCACTTCAGCGTGGGCGAGGACTGTCCCGTGTTCGATGGCCTCTTCGACTTCTGCGCCATGTACACGGGTGCCTCGCTGGAGGGTGCTCAGAAGCTGAACCACAATCACAGCGACATCTGCATCAATTGGTCTGGCGGACTGCATCATGCCAAGAAGTTTGAAGCGAGCGGTTTCTGCTATGTGAACGACATCGTGATTGGCATCTTGGAGCTGCTCAAGTATCATCCGCGAGTGCTCTACATCGACATAGACGTGCACCACGGCGATGGCGTCCAGGAAGCCTTCTACCTCACGGATCGAGTAATGACTGCCTCGTTCCACAAATACGGCAATTACTTCTTCCCGGGAACGGGAGACATGTATGAGATTGGCGCGGAATCGGGTCGATACTACAGTGTGAATGTTCCACTCAAGGAGGGCATCGATGATCAGAGCTACTTTCAGGTGTTCAAGCCCATCATCTCGGCCATCATGGACTTCTACCGACCAACGGCCATTGTCCTACAGTGTGGTGCGGATTCACTGGCCGGAGATAGACTGGGTTGCTTCTCCTTGAGCACAAAAGGGCATGGGGAGTGCGTCAAGTTCGTGAAGGAACTAAATGTTCCCACCTTGGTCGTTGGGGGCGGCGGCTATACCCTCCGCAACGTGGCACGTTGCTGGACACACGAAACGTCGCTGCTGGTGGACCAGGACATAGAGAACGACCTGCCTGCCACAGAGTATTATGACTTCTTCGCCCCCGACTTTACCCTCCATCCAGAGATTAACTCACGCCAGGATAACGCCAATTCAAAGCAGTATCTTGAGCTCATCGTGAAACACGTTTATGAGAACCTCAAGATGTGCCAGCACTCGCCCAGCGTTCAAATGGTGCAGACACCGCCGGACGTTGACTTGGAGGAGCTTCGAAACAACAGAGACGAAGCAGCCGATCCCGATGTGCGTATGTCCCAGGCCGATGAGGATAAGATGGTGGACGCCAAAAACGAGTTCTACGATGGCGACCAGGACCAGGACAAGCCCGATTCGGCAGAGAGTTAGGATTGCTTTAAGTACAGTAAGGCTTTGTGTTAAGTGTTAGCAATAAAGAACCGCAGACGGTTAGATTTTAACTTAATCCGAGGCTACTTAATGGGACACATTTGCCGAGAATACTTTATGGAAAATTAGGTAAATTTGCTTTTAAAATCGACTGACACACATGTATTTGAGATGATTAAGGGTACTTAATAGGAGGATTACTATATCGACATTGGTGGACGATCGCCGGAAGATCACCAGCCGGTCGTGGTGTTGGCCAGTCGCCGCATTCGTCGTGTATTGCGGTCCTGGTCGCGTATCTTCTTCTCCATCTCGGCGTCGGTAAGCGTCTCTAGGAATGGGGCCCACGCGTCGGCATCGCTGGGATTTCGGAACGGTACATCGATAGTGGAGAGCGGGGCCTCGCTGAAGGCATAAGTGCGGCAGTGCCAGGATAGCTGGCCGCGGATGCTGTACGCAATGGCCGTCACAAATTCACCTCCCAGTCCCAGCTCGGCACACAGCTTGATGGCAAACTCCTCCGGATTATTGTTCTTCTCGGACATATCCCACTCGACCTGGTCGACGAGCGAGGTGTTGCCCACGTGAATGTTTAGCTTGACGATGACACGCTGGTCACAGCTCTCCTCGAGGATGGGCGGATCATTCGGAAACGCCTCGATTTGCTGCCGGATGGCCTGAGCTATAGCTGGTACGAAGGGTAGCGGATTGAGGTCCAGGTCGTCGCAGAGCACCTCCGCAAACTGCTCGGGGGTGATCATGCTCTCGTTCTTGTTCCAGGTGAAGGTGTCACGCAGCTTCTGTCCCTCCAGCTCCATGTCCAACCGAATGGGCACAAGGCACTCCTTCTGCGCCGCATTCTCCAGGCTGGCCGTGGGATCTGTGTCATCGAAGCACATAGGAAACGTGCGCACCTTCTTAGTGTGCACTCGGTTGCGGTTTATGGGCGTAGCCTGAGGCACTGCGTCCAGGTGGCTGGAGTTGGGCATCGTGGGCACATACTGCGGCTGCTTCTTGGATTTACTCTCCCGGGGCACAGGCGTGTCCGAGGTGTTTACCGAAACGGCGCGGTACCTGGAACGACGTTTCATATTGAAAATTAATGATTCTGACTGAAGACGTTTTTGACAGAAAAACTAGGTAGGGATGATTGCAGTCATGATTGTATCATGATTGCAGTGCTGCCTTCAAAAACTAATTTGAAATCAATTGAAATATGTTTCCTTTTGTGGCATACTTTTGGACATCATTTTAATCGAGTTTACAGAGATTTTGAAGGCCCCGTTTTTTTTTATTCTTGTTTGCAAGTTTTTCTTGTTTTTTAGAGTTCTTTCAGACATTGTTTTATAAATATTTTGGGTCTCGCCACTCACTTTTCATCGTTGCCGGCCATAATGTCGTCCACCTCCACGGCGCGAAGCAGCGAAACCGAACTGGCCAGGATATGGGAGCTGAGGCCGGAGTCGGCCAGCCGCTTGCGCTCCTCATTGGACAGAACGATTCGTGTCATTCCCGGGTACTTCTTGTAGAGGATGCCGCGGAAGTGCCGCATGTAGTTGCCCACCTCAGAGCCCACATAGTAGTACTCGCCGCCCTCCTCCAGCTGGAAGGCTACCGGCTTGTCCCCGTACGTCTGCAGGGCCATCTTGAGTCGGTCTTCTTCCTGTAGGTTTTGACACACGGATTCTCCTCGGGATTTGTTCTTATTTTTCAGACCACAAATTTTCTTGCCGCATACACAAACACAGACATGGACATGGCGTCTATCGCGGAAGTGTTGGAAAATGCCCGGCTCACCAGCGCAATTCAGTGAAATTAAAAAAAGCTAAATTTACTCAATAGTATTTCGGTTTTACAATGTTTATAGAACAAAATTATTAAAGTGAAATATTTTTAATTAAATTTTAAAATTAATTACAGGTAAAACTACATAACTTTAAATTTATTTAGAAAATACTAAATCCAGCTAGTGTGCCATCTCTGCCGTTCCAGCACCAACGAATCGCCTTACGCCGCTTTCCAACACTAATTCACTTGCTCCGCCGGACATTCGTTAATTATTTTTAAGATCGCCATAAAGATGTCCTTATTACGCAGTGCTACTGGTTTCCTGGCGCTCACGAGGTCGCTCGGAGCCCCACCAACAGGTATACAATTCTCGCCTATTTGATACCAGTCATTAAACGTATTTTCCCGGCAGTGCAAACACGCCGCCACATTAAGCGATGGGTTTCGCCGACGTTACGTGAGCTAGCCCACCGACAAAAGAAACTGGGCCCACAGAAGCCGGAGCCGCGTTCCGGATTTGTGGAGTGGAACCAGCGCTCAGAGCTGTTCGCCTTCGGCAAGCGATTGGGTGAATCCTTTGAAATGGCCTTGCTGCAACGCGCATTCACAGAGAGATCCTTTGCCCAGCGCGAGGAGGAAAAACGACGCAAGCTGGGCATCGAGGAGGCAGACCTGCAGATGACGGACAATAGCGATCTGGCCAAGAAGGGTCAGGTCATTGCCCGAGCCTACGTAGAAGCTTTTCTCCAGCACCAATTACCCAAAGTCCCAAAAGAAGGACTCCAAGCTATTGCCAGCTACTTGCTAAGCACGAACACTCTGGCACACGTTTCCACCCATCTGGGCACAAAGGACCTGATCCACTCCACGGAGTACCCGCCATCAGCTGAAAGTCTGGCCCAATCCCTACAGGCGGTGATCGGAGCACTAGCAGATTCCAGCGGCGTAGAGCGAGCTTTCCTTTTCGTGCGAGACTTTATCTGCACTCAGCTGAACCAGAAAGATTTGCTTGATGTGTGGACTCCGGAGGAACCCCTGCAGCTGCTCGAAAAAATCTGCCAGGAGCGAAAGCTGGGCGAAGCTGAGCCACGCCTGATTGGAGATTGCGGAAAAAATACTGTTCTGGCCGCTTACCAAGTGGGCATCTATGCTAATCGCCAGCTGCTGGGCAAGGGATTTGGCGAAGACCTGCGAACGGCTACAGAGACGGCAGCCATTGACGCCTTGCAGAGCCTCTTCGACACCCACGACAACCGGAGACCCTTCGATTTCGGAGTTCAGCTGGAAACCAAAAACGTGCGACTGGGCTAAGGAACGGAACAACTCTGCGTCCTTGTTGATTTTTGTAATTTGCACTAAACACATGTACGCATGCATTGTCAGAGAAGATTGCGTTTTAAAATCATTTAACTACGGATCAACAAATTGCCTCCTAGTCGCGATCGTCGCGCTTGCCATCGCCCGCGTCATGGCCGTGGGTGGTGGGCGTGACCGATGTGGACGGCCCCAAATCATCAGGCTTGCTTTCCAACGAAAAGGGCGGAATCTTACAATCGAAGGAGTAGCCATCCTCGCGCTCTAGTCGGAAGGTGCCCCACATATGGCCGCTGGGCGCCTGCAGACTCACGTGACTGCTGTACTGGAAGGCGGGCAGTCGTGGGCTGAGGATGGGCTCCTGGCCCACCACTCCCCTGCCGCGTACCGTCTCCAAAGTGCCAGATAGCGAAAAGATACGCCAATGCCTCTCGCGCAGCTGGACGCTTGCCTTGCCGAGGTTTTCCAATCGGATGCAATACCGCCACTGGAATAGTGTCCGATTTGTTAAGTTTTAAAGACTTGAAAGATGTCGTCCTACTCACCCAGTATACCGAACTAGCTGGCGTCTCACGGCAACCCATATAAAAGGGGATTACTGTAATCCGCACGTTCTCCGTGGTTTCCTTGTGTACGTCGCTCATGTCCAGCCATGGGTGGTTCTTCTCCTGCCACGCCTTCAGCGTGTCTTGACCCACGAACGGTGGATCGGCGTCCGGTGCGTGCGTGAGGAACTTGTCGAATAGCTCGTGCTGCAGCGGACTCTTCTCGCTGGAGCTGTAGGGCATAATGTCCTCGTGGGACACATAGTCAAGCCCGGGTATGGCGTACAGGCTCCGGTTGGAGTCCTGGTTGCCCAAAAAGGTAACCGCCTCGGTCTGTGCACGCTGTAAAATGGATAAGTAAATTAGCAGAAGGAACATGGCTTACTGGAAGCTCTTACAATGTGCGGACAGTCGCGGGTGTCGATGAGCACCTGGTAAAAGGTTTGCACTTTGCCCTTAACCTCCTTCGGGTCCACCTGTGTCGCGGCTTCTACATTGCCGGTGGTCTCCGTCACGCCGGGCGCATTAGTCAGGTAGGCGGTTGAGGTGGTGGCATCTGCCGTGTTGGCCTCCGGCGGAGTTGAGGTGCTGGCCTTAACCCTAATCGAGGCTTCTTTGGTGCGTTGCTGCTGCGACGGAGTTGGCGTCGTCGCCGTGGCGTTGACCTTGCTCGGGTTGTGCAGGTCTCGATCGTAGACGCGTGCCGTCCAGGGGAACAGGATGACTCCACGGTAGCCGAAGATGCGGTGCAGGAAGAGCTGTCCAGTTTCGTAGCGGTCATCGCGTGCCTCCATAAGTCGCCCCACCTCGGCAAGTCTGCAATTAGGGGGTTATGCAATGATCCAGAGGACTTAACAGGACTCCCTGCTTAGCGGGACTCAACTCACTTGGTTGGGTGAACCGCCTGCTTCTTGATTGTCCGCCTCAGCACGAGATCGCACCGCTGCAGAAGACGCCATCGCTGATCCCACTTGAACACTTGCACCAGCAAGCCCATCGCGGCGCATCCAAAGTTCGCCGGGAGCGGGGAGCACCTCTTGGCTTCGCTGTCTCGGAGGGGGAACTGCGGGATTTATGCAACGATCTGCGATCTGCGGCTACTGCTGCTTCTGACGCTGGGTTCTCGCGATAGCTTCTGTGTAACGGGGTACATGTGCTTCAAAATTTTGTAAGAGTCTCTACTAATTCGACATTGTTATGAAAATTTTGATTTTGTTTTCGGCACTGGAAAAAAAAAAACACCAGGCGATTGCGCCGAGTCCGATTTCCCGATACCACTATTCGATTGCAATTGCTATTTATCGGCCTAATTACTAATTTTAATTAAACTTATTTTACAAGGACATTAAATAAAGTAAATGCCTTGTTTTAAGTTAAAATAATGTGTTTTTTTATTAAAACTTTCTTTTTATATTTATTTTTAATACATTTAAAAAATTAATTTTTGAGGAAATAAAAATACTTAATTAAGGTGACAGCCCGTTATACTGCATTTGAAAACTTAAATCACTGTTAATTCAGTTATTAATTATTCAAATTTAATAATACGTTTTTAAGTGACTTAAAGAAGAATAGGTATGTTTAATTTATAAGAATTAGAATTTTAATTTATTAAAAATGGGGGAAAAAACTAGTATTATACCAAAAGTTTATAAATAGTAATAAATTGGTATTTAATAGTATATTTTTTCTCGCTATCGGTTCGGTCACTCTGCAAACGCTCCATCTCCCTCTTTCGCCATTTGACAGATTTCCGGTACGTACGCGATTTTCCGTCGGCCGCCGAGAAAACACAAAAATAAGCCCGTTAATGCGTGAATCGCTTGAAAATAGTGCAGCGAGGGCTCTGCCGAATATGTGTGCTACGTGCGCAACCAGTTGTGGAGTGCCTAAATTGTGTTTAGCTGTGCGATGTCACCGGCTGAAAAATCAAAACAAATGCCCCAACTGGTTGCGAGTGGTGGTGAATGTGAATACGAGCAATGTGAATAATGAAACCCTCTTTGATCCGCAGCTAAGCCATGGCCGACTCACAAGCCAAGACCGCTGCTGCGCCCAAGGCCGCCAAGGCCCAGAAGGCTGCCAAGGCACCCAAGGCCGAGAAGCCCGCCGCCACCGAGGCTAAGGTTTCCGCCAAGAAGTACAAGCGCCACGGCCGACTCTTCGCCAAGGCTGTCTTCACCGGCTACAAGCGCGGTCTGAGGAACCAGCACGAGAACCAGGCTATCCTCAAGGTAAGTTTTACCCCAGATCAAGGAAGCAGAAGGTGTCTTCACAATCGCTCTATTAAATTTTGGAAACTGTATTAGGGTTAGAACGAAGATTTTGATTTTACTGTTCGTGGTAAACAATTTAAATCAGAAAATATGTAAATTCCTATTCCTATTCAGTTTGTTAATTTTATTTGTGTAGTAAATTTATTTTCTATAGCTTTAAATATTGTGATTGTTCTCCAACTATTATCTCACTGTGAAGCTTCTTATTCCTTTTAAGCTCAAACCAAATTACGTACAAAATATTTACAAATTCAAATCTTTTATTTTGTGTTAACAAATTAAACAAACTATACTGGTTTCAGTAGTAATCCATCAAACATCGTAAAGAGCTTTTGAGAGAGCCAACTTCTTCCGTTTTTGATGAACCCCATATTAAATTGTCATTTTTTTCAGATTGAGGGCGCCCGCCGCAAGGAGCACGGAGAGTTCTACGTTGGCAAGCGTTGCGTCTACGTCTACAAGGCCGAGACCAAGAAGTGCGTGCCTCAGCATCCCGAGCGCAAGACCCGCGTCCGCGCTGTCTGGGGCAAGGTCACCCGCATCCATGGCAACACCGGCGCCGTGCGTGCTCGCTTCAACAGGAACCTGCCTGGTCACGCCATGGGACACCGCATTCGCATCGTAAGTGTGCCTCTTTACTGTTGATCCAAGCAATCTTCTAACGTAACGCCCTCTTCCTTGCAGATGCTGTACCCATCAAGGATTTAAGTTAAACATGAACTTAAGTTACTGACCTGCAGATAAAAAAAATCCGTTTTATAATAAATGAAACAATTTAAATTTAATTACAACAATACTTTGTTTCACTTTGACGACGACTCTGGATACAGCAGAATATTTATACCCTTGAAGAGATTTATATTTTAGTCAAGTTTGCAACGACCCTCTAAAGAATTTATATTGTTCAGCTTAAATAGCAGAGTAGATCTAGCCATGGTCGTCTGAACCTTTCTACGAAAACTGGCCTCGCAGTTTAAAATCTATCAGGATAAAACTAAATATTCTCATCAGTATATAGGTTAGCTAAAATTCTTGTTTTAGTCAATTCGAATAATTACTTCGAAAAATGTGAGAGTTGCGAATTTTTATAACCGTGAAGAATTCATTTTCGACCCTATAAGTCATTTATATTCTTGATTAGCATCAACAGGCGAAACTTTTTAGCCATGTTGTAAAGAAAAAAATAAGTTTGATATTTTTTTCAAAATTTTATAAGGGGTTACATCGTTAAAATGGGCAAACATTTTGATTTCTTAAAATTGTAAACTTAATATGGAGCTTTGTTAACCTAGAAAAAACTAGTATAGAAATGCTTTCCAAATGGAATTTAATGCTATTTTGGCCTAGTTATGGTCATAATTGCCAAAAGATTATGTAAAATAAAGAAATCTTTTTTTTTTATTTAAGGGGTTGTAAATAAGCATTCCGAGCTAACGTTTCATCAGGATTTTAATTTTATTCTTAAAAAAATTGTTATATAATAAATACTTCCGAAGTGGTATCTTATGCACCTGATCGGCAATCCACCTACCTACTCCAATGTTTTTTGAAAGCACTTTTGAAATTGGTGAACAAAATATTTGTAGGACTACTCGACAGATTTTAGCTCTTTATATTGTTATTTATATTTATATTATTCAAGAGATAATCATTTTAAGAAAACTTCGTCTAAACACAAATGATTTTTCTATAATGAAAATATTAAAAAAATATTACAATAAAAAAAGATATTAAAATTATAAATTAGATAAAAATTTAATTTTTTTAATAATCCAAAATATACAAATAATTTTAATAGCATATTTTAAGTATCTATTGTATTTTCGTTTCTTAACCATTTCGTACCTTTACTACAAATTTAATTGAGCTAACAAAATCGTCATAACCGATTTTCACTGTACCGCCGAAGTCAAAGGTATTTTCCTGGTATTTTAACCAATGACGAAATAAAAGCCAAAGTGGTGTCATCCGCCGTTTGGTAATCAATGGCACCTGAAACGCGGTCACACTGCTCCAATCAGCAGCGTGTTGCGGCCAATAGAAAGAAAAACAACTTAAGTTTTACGATTTTAGTACAAATTAGTTACTTAGATAGCAATTGCTTGCTGCGGGCGCGACCGGGAGTTATGCGGAGATGTGCGTCGACCTTGCCGGGTGCCACTGCCGCTGCTGTTCCACCGCCACCGACGCCAGAAGTGCGTCAACACGTCACCGCTGCGATTCGAGCCAATTAGAAGACCGAAGCCCACTTTTGCATTCCGCGAACCGTCGATCGGCCCTAGATAACGATTACGTATATATGCGCGTATGATGGGCATGCAGGATGACCTGGACGGCATCGTGAGGCACCGTCGTCGCAACCTGAGCCTCCTGCAGCTGGTGGCACTTACCATGGTAGGCTTTGTGGCCCTAAGTCCGCACCAGGCCAGGGCGCAATCGAGGGACCTGGAGCTGCAGACGGCGGGCTCCTCCACTCCTCCGGCCCTGACGCACTGTGTTGACCAGGGAGAGCGCCGGATTGGACGCAGGTATGTGGCAATAGCATAAACAGCGAAGAAGAAGCAGAGTGCGTTATGTGTGTGACCCTTTTGTTATGCATTCTGGTGAAAATGTTCTCGAACGTTCGCAGAAACGCAGTGCGAGTGGAAACTCTGAAGCAGCTAGGCAAACATTAAAAAAGCTGTGAATATTTATTTAAAATTCTCCGAAAGTGCTCAGTTAGTTGGCTGAAGCGAGAGTGGGTTGTAAACAAGACGTGGTGCAGCCTGAAATTAGCTACAGGGCTGCCCCGAAATGATACTATTCGCTGCGACCCTTAACTAGCGTTTAGCAGTAGCAATCGGTGAACGCGCTTATCAAGCATGCGGTGAGTCATTTGGCAAAACTTAACTGCTCTTTTTGTTTGCGAGAGGGACAGCTCAGAGATATGTTTATGCACGTCAATTTAAACAGGTTTCGTCGATTGTTTTGCTTTCTTTCCGTTTGCTTAACTTTTCACCGAATTTCACCATTCTCTTCTCGCTTGCCTTACCCCCGTTGTTCGGAGGGCGCCATTTTCGGCTCTTCCGTGGGCGGGATAGAGATGGTGATAGGGGAAATGAAGAGGAGCCAACTGACACTTGTTGGTTTCTTTTGGCGCGGCATCAGCTGGGATGCCTTTGTCCCCCTCCCACACTCTTTCGCCAGTCAGATGGCATCGCCAGTGTGACCCTTTCGCCTGAATGTCTTTATCCTTGGAACGGGATGATGAAATTCACCTGCAGCAAAAATTCAGTGCCAAGGTCACTAGGTGGGATGTAACACGGGATCCGACAGTTGTAAATTAAAATGCCGAAACCCAAGTAAACTATCTAGATCTTATATGTTATTAATCAGTTTTTGATTTTAAATATTTCAAGCCTTTAATGTATTTGTTTCGGTTTTGTTTATGGAGTTTTTTAAATCTTATGCATTTCAGAAAAGTAAATGTTAAATTTTATCTACATATTTATATTCTATATTGGTTTTACAAAACCAAACTTTATAATCTGCTTTAAAAGTATTTAACAAATATAAAACAATCAAAGACACGAGAATATATTTATAAACTGATACAAAAACAATAATACAGTTGTATTATGGGACAGCGAAACACAGCTAAATAAAATAAACTAAACTAAACCGGCCAGGGCCGGGCATAAAAGAGTCCATCACCTGATAAGGAATTTGTTAATTAGGTCAGGGTCAGACTTTCCCAGTTATTAATCAATTTGTTCTTTACTTTCCCTGCAGACTCCTCTATATAACAACACTAGACGGACGTCTGAGCGCCCTGGATATTGCCAAATCGGGGAAGTTGCGCTGGAGCGTGCCCACTGCACCCGGTCCGCTTATCTCGTCCAGCATCCACCGCCTGGAGCTGACCAACAATGGACAGTTTGTGCGCATGATTCCCTCACTGAGCGGTGGCATCTACAAGTTCGACGGCGAATCCATCGATCCCATACCGATAACGGCAGAACACCTGCTCAGTTCGAGTGCCAAGTTCAGTGACGATCTGGTGATATCTGGGGGCAAGGAGACCCGCTCTTATGGTGTCTCTGTTCGCACCGGTCAGCTGCTCTACGAGTGCTCCATCAACGGGTGTGTAAACTCCACGGATGATGGGCGGGCCATAAACGATACCATAGAGGAGGGAGATCAGGAGGAGCTCCGGCAGGAGGGCGATGATGACCAATTGAGGGATGAGGCTGGCTATGTTGTGGGCCATGATCCCCTTCTGGACGACGTGATTGTGGTACGCCGCCAGACCCAAACCGTTCGGGCCGTAGAGTCGCGGACCGGCATGGAGCGATGGAACTTCAGCGTGGGCCAGCATGAGCTGGACATGGTCCGACCCTCTGAGTGTACTCAACAGCCGCGCGATGAGCTAGAGCTGGCTGTCCTGGACGTGGACATCAAAGTGGTGGTGCCTGAGGGCGTAATCTGCGCCTTCAGCAAGAGCGACCCCCAGACCATGCTCTGGAAGTACAAGGTGAGTGGAAATAAAAGGGAAACTATTACTTGAATTCCTAAAATATGATTTATTGTTTGCAATTAGTTTGATCACCCGATTGTGAGTGCCTGGAACACGAATGCCGCTGACGAACTGAAGCCCATTGATCTCTTCAGCTCAGCCCAGTGGCTCTGGGAACAGGATCAGACGGAAGAGGATATGCCCAACAGGCCCCAGAGTGCGCCATCCATTTACTTGGGCATGTACGACAAGCAGTTGTATATCCAGGAGTCAATCCGTCTTCGCCAGGAAATAATGGACCAGACGAAGGTCTACCAGCAGCTCACAGGCGACACCAGTCTGATGCCCAAGATTCCTTGGAAGCCCATAGCCGCCAGCAGCAATTCGCTGGTCATATTCCGACAAGATGAGGATGAGCCCGAGGTCATAGGGGGCACTGGAGGCGGACAAGGAAGCGAGCTGGTACCCTATGATGACCAGAACTTTGCTGTGGCAGCTCAGTCCGTGCTGAATGCCTCCGAGTTTGTGAACGGTAATGGTTTCTATTTCTACACTACCTCGGATTTTGAGGGTCCATCCGAGTGCGGCACCAATGAGACTCCAAGTGGATTGCCTGCCATCGAGGCGCCTCCTCCGAACAATGGCACGTCTGGGGGAGCGGAAAACACCGGGAACAACAGCATCAACGACGATCTGGGCTTCAGTCTGGATGACATTGATGCTCCTGTAAAGGTGGTGATTCTGTCGCTTTGGTTTTGGTGGAAGGAGATCGTGGTTATTGCATTTACCTCGGCTGTGCTTCTGAACATCTTTATGGGACAGCGAAACCAGCGGGTGGAGCGGGAATATTTGGTCATCGAGCGACATGTGCCGGTACAAACTGCCATTGAGGCCACCGAAGCATCCACTCAGGCTCTCCTGGGTCCCGTGGTCCCCTTGCAGCGCAATCCAGGCAATCGCTTTAGCTTCCCACCCAACGGCCGAACCCAGCGCACCATTTCGGAGTCCACTTCTCACTCGGGCGAACATTATACCTCGCGCTTCCAGACCGACTTTGAGCTGATGCAGTGCCTCGGACGCGGTGGCTTCGGCGTGGTCTTTGAGGCCAAGAACAAGCTGGACGAGAATAGGTATGCCATTAAGCGCATCACGCTGCCCAACAAGGAGGCTTCCAGGCAACGAGTTCTCCGCGAAGCTCGTACCCTTGCCAGCTGCGAGCACCACAACATCGTGCGATATTTCCATGTGAGTATGATCAAGCTCGCTATCATCATCCATATAGCTAATCTGATTATTTACTTACAGTCCTGGACCGAGACACCACCAACTGGGTGGCAGGAAGAGGAGGATCGTAAACTAGTTGCCCACGAGTTGTCCACCTCCATTCAGATCGAGACGCCAGACGAGAGTACACTGCCCTCGTTTGCGGACCAGTTGCAGGAGAAACGCCACCAGCAACTTATGTCTTGGGTATCGGATGCTGCGAATAGCACTGCCTGCAGCCACGACTTTCATGGCCACGGGGAGCCAGCACTTAGGAACATCAGGGAGGAGTACGACGATGATGAGGAGGAGGATTCGCTTATTGAATTCCGCAGCGAGTCGCAGTCGGCAGCTTTAAGGGCGCGCGACGAAGATGACGATGAAGACGACGACGATGATGACGATGAAGAGGAGGAGGAGGCAGAGAAGGACGAGAAGAAGAGTCACCATCGCAGTTCCGTGTCTATTGACATCCATTCGGCTTCTTTCGATCTAAAGAACATTAACTACTCACAGCACCAGTTGGTGTCCAACTCCTTTCAAATCGAATCGGTTCGCACCAAAAGCAATGGCAGCGATGAGGCGGAGGACGATAATAGGCCTAGAAGAAAGCCGCTTACCCTCGCTCTGGCTCAGAACCACAACAACAACAACCAGAACGGAAGCCATCCGACGCCACCAAGTGCCACCATACAGAATGGAGTTGCTGGCAAGCCAAGCAAAGTGTACTTATACATCCAGATGCAGCTGTGCCGCAAGGAGAGTCTACGCGACTGGCTCAGGGACAATCGAACTGAGGCCAGGGCGGCTCACATCGCTGATATCTTTCACCAGATCGTTGACGCCGTGGACTATGTGCACCTCAAAGGCCTCATCCATCGGGACCTGAAGCCGAGTAATATCTTCTTTTCGCAGGACGGACAAATCAAGATCGGAGACTTTGGACTGGTCACCGACATGGCGGACATTCCGAACCTGGTTGCCAAGTGTGGAGATCAGAGTGGCCTGCCCTCCTGTGCCCGCCACACTCAGCAGGTGGGCACTCACCTATATATGTCGCCTGAGCAGCTGCTCGGCCGTCACTACGACTACAAGGTGGACATCTACTCCCTGGGCCTGATTTTCTTCGAGCTGCACGTGTACTTCTGCACAGAGATGGAGCGAATCAAGACGCTGCGAAATTTGCGGGATGGCCAGTACCCCAAGGACTTTGCCCTCAAGTATCCGGAGCAGTACGATTTGCTTCAGCAGATGTTGTCCGCCGAACCGGAGCAGCGGCCACAGACAAAGCAGTTGAAGAGCCAGCTACAGGACATTCTGCACCTGCCGCATCACCTGGCGGACGGACGCAGCGAGCATGCGGTGCTGGCCGAGCGTGCCAGGCGGCTGAGTCGCAGTCGAACCTTCAGCAGCTCCAGCGAGCCGCATCAGTGATAGACCAGATTGGCCGTGGGCATGAACAGCCATCAGTCATCAGTTAGCATTTTGCTTGTAAGTCATTTACCAACCATCATCCTCACCTGGCTATGCCTCATCCGCTGACTCGACCCGGACCAGTCGCAGGATCATTTAATTGGTAACACCTAGACTCGATAAGTTTGTATTACGTTCACATTTTAAACTCTTGCGTGTCGCAAATTAGCAACAACAAAATGTCCTTTTGTTTATAAGACTTAACCTTAGGAATTATACATATATATAAAGATGTACTCCCAAAACAGTCGCTAGCCTTAGTCGATGATCTACGATGCCCAAAATTGTTTGTCCTAGTTTGTTTCTACCCATATAGCCAGCCAATTAATACGAGAGTTTGTTTTTAGTTGATAGGCGATAAGAGAGAAAAATAAAAAAAAGCTTAAAAATAGAAATGGAAATATTTTCTAATGGCTAGTCGAGATAACGGCCGTGAGTAATAGCCTGGGGCGCTATAAATCAGTTGCCAGCTGACGCCACACCGGGTACGGTTCTATGAAATACGGGTAATGCAATGAAATTAATTTAAAAATTACTCAATTGCACACCAACTATAAATTAGGTAAACTTTAATTAATTGATAATGTTCATTATCAATCGGTTAACCCAATAATTAAAGACTCCGAACCTTTATTTTTTATATCACTTTATTTTGTTTTTATTTACGTCGGTTGCGCATTTTTCAAAAACGTTCTCTACTTTTCTAACGGTTGTTTGTCGGCGAATATCCATCGTACTCAGGCCTCTCTGCAGTGCATTCTACCCTAAGTACAATTTGCTTGCTTCCGTTTCCGGCCGACATTTTGTTTTGCCATTGCTTAACATTTAGGTTCGGTGCGATTTTCTTGCTATTCTGTGGTTTGCTTCTATCCAATTAACAATTTCTCTCTACATATCCCTGGCTCGCGTCTTGCCTTGTATTACAAAAAAAATAACAGAGATCATGGGCGACATGATGGCATGATGCGCCTTGCAATACTTATCTAAACGTAGCGGCTTTTCCTTACGGCTACTTACATACGAACTTTTGAATGCTTTGAACAAACAACAAGCGGCTGAAGCTTTTGATTCGTTAATACATACTGTTAAGATGAGATTTTAATTGGTATATTGCTACACTTATTTATTCTTCCTCCTCTCGCTTCGAAATGTCGCAGGCAACGCGTTGCTTAAATATACATAAATAATTCAACAATTTTCCTTGTTGCGTTTACTTTGTTTTGTTTTTGTTTAATTCCTTTCAACGGTTTGCGTTTAGCGTTTTAATTATTTCCCAAAAATTAACAGCCATTTTGACGAATCCGTAAATGTTGAAAATCAAAGACAAAAACTCGAACCAAAGGCAATTATCGTTAGATTTATATGTGTATATATATATATGTATGTTTATATAGGTATGTGTTATATAAATATGTTGATGTTAGTGCTTTCCAGTAGCTTATTTGCTGAAGGGACAGTTTCCAATTAAAGATAATGCCAGAGAGTGGGCAAGTTAGGTCGCCTCAACAAATAAGCTACCTAAGCTGTTATTTATCTTTAATCATTAATGGTATATGTCCTTTATCAAAGCCACAAATATTTAGTTAATTACTTGTTATTATTTGTTGTATTGGTTACCCTTGAAATAACATTAAAAAATTGTTTCGAATCTCGTTTTTAGCTTAGTTATTCCTATAACCTTAACCGAGCACTCAACTGGGAGTGGAACCAATTTTTGGCAGTGCGCCCAGTTATCTACCTTGAATATCAGTTAGAGCTTACTTATATTGCTGTAAAAGTCGGTTTCCATAGCATTTTCGCAAAGTTCTTCTTTTGAAATCTCTATGTACAAAGTCAGCCTTGATTGCTTTTCTGTTGAGTAGTTTGAGTGGTTTCTTGAGGTAAAGAAAGAGATCGGTGTGGTATGTGCGTGTTCGTGGAAACTGGGACTAGTTAAGATGGCGGTGTATAGGGCGACACTTTGCCATTGCCTAGCTAACACATCGACCGGCTATATCTGTTTGATATCACTACACTATGCTACACAAAACGCTGCTGTCTAACAATTTAGAGTTCGAGTATGTCGTGGGTATGGCATTATCACTAAAAATAATAACACAATCGTCGTCGGTTCTTGTGCGCTTCAATCCAATTGTAATCTTACTTTAGTTCTAGGTCTACTACGACATATTTGCTTCTGGTGTCTTAAGGCGTCTTGATCACGGCTCCTTACACGCCGAGACATTTTAAAATCGTTTGAAACTATTTAATATTTGAAATGTTAACAACTGAAGTTATGGGACTCGTTTTGATTATTTACTTTATGACGTGTTTTTTTGTATTCTATGCAAATCGGGCGCCGTGTAAAGAGCCCTGCACTTATATATTCTCTCCTATTAACTCTCCTGTTTTAACGCTTAAGTAATGTACGAGTTCACTGTAGTGGCTCCACTTGAATGACATGATTGTAACACTTAGATTCCAGGGCCCTTGGGCTGATCTCGGCCACACTTGCCCGGATACTCGCACCTAAGGCTATTTATTAACTCGTCCTAAAATTACGTACGTTTTGTGTTCCAGACTTGTGTTCGGAGACTTGACATTGGCATTAACTGACATCTTGTTGGTTGGCTTAAGAACTAATTCTTGAAATGATCACAACGTTAAAGTATGTTTACATATACGTGTATAGCTTAAGGTTAACTACTTATGTAAGTACTTATACGCTCTTGGTTTGTTTCGATAACAAGGTTATTCGTTCGTACATAAAATGTATTGTAAATTATGGTGGGATTAATTGCCTATTTACGTTCCACGACAGAAATAATAACCGCAACGATGACGACAAATGCGATACAAAATCAAACTGGCAATTGTTGCTGTGCACTCTGTGGATATTGCCGCATATTCATGGCAGCTGCACTTCCTGGCGGCGCACGGGCATTGAATTGCAAATGCGTACGCACTAAAGTTGTCAGCAAGGATGTCGGGTTCTGGATCTCGGACTGGGAAGTCGTGGCCGCTGGCCAAACGTATCCTTCGTTCGGCAGCCCCATTGCCATTTAAATGAGCGCAGCAAGGAGTGCCGTCCATAAAGGCAGCCAGCAAAATGTTGTAATAATGGCAAACAAAAGCAGCGGAGGGGAAAGCAGGAGTGGGGGCTCGGACGCAGGCGGAGGGATTGGGGGAGTCGGATTGTAGCCACTAAAAATATATGCTAAAATATGCATCTGCAAGCGTTCGCAGGGGGCTACAATGTCGTTGTGTCTCCGCCAGGGAGATTGCGTATACGCCACCGTCAAAGGAGGTTACGTATACGACACAGTGCACCTTGCACCCTGCCGCTGCCCGATGGCCGCTGATAGCAGCGCTGCTGGTAAAGAATGCACTCGAGTATAATGCGCCAGATCAGAACGTTTGCTTAAGAAACTTATGCAACATTTGCTAAAGTATTGTACAGCGTCCTTTATTCCTAGTTGATTGTGAGTACTCAGCGCCAGCCATGACACTGCTCGCGGTCATACCTCCTCCGCCGCCCACTCCGCCTCCAGCTCCTCCTCCCGTGCTGGTGCAGCCCATTAGCTCACGGAATACGTCTCCGATTTTGTAGTTGTACCTAAAAAGAAGACGAAACCCCGGTTAGTCGTCGCCGGGCACAAATATCGCATGACAGATGGCCGTATTGATTACTCACTGCGCCGAGCACTCGACGTAGCCGCAGCGCCAATGTTTGCGCACCAGCGTGGAAATATCCTTGAGCTCCTGCCAGGCCGACGTCGGGATGTGTGCATGTGCGATAAGAGAAAGGATTCAATATTGAGTGCAAATCTGCTGGAAACAAATAACTCAAGCGCAATGTAGCCAAGGTTTTCGCTATTTGCCTCTTAAGTGGATCGTTTTTTGTTGTTTCCTATTCAAAGAAACATCTCGATTTCCCATTTTTTTAAGTAACGAATTTAAAACAAAACGAATTTAATATAAAACGAATTTAATAAATACAAATTAGAGTTTTGTCTGTAGAATTTATCAAGCAAATTAGTTTAATAATTAACATTTTGCACTCACCTGCGAGTTGGCCTGTGCCTCAGTCACATTGTCAAATTTATTGCCGACCACAATTATGCTAAAATCACGATGACTGAAACTGTCCAAGATTTGATCTCTCATCGAGCGGCAGTACTGCAATAAAATCGTCGGCATTTGTCACGATCCATTATCAGAGGAAAACCGGAAAGGCACTCACCTGAAATGTTTCCAAATTGCCCATGTCGTAGACGAGGACATAGGCGTGCACCGTTCGCAACCCCAGCGGATGTCCGTTGTTCCATTCGGCGAAGTTGTCAGCCGGAAATCGCTTCTGGCGAGATGGCGATGCCAATTGGTTGAGTGTTTGTTTTTCATCAGCGCATTTCCCCAAACAAACAGGCGAACAAACAAACACGTACATGTGTCCACACGGCCGGATGAGTTGTGTTTTCGTTTCGCATTATTTTGGCACGCGCATGAAAAGCAAATATGAAAACGAAAAAGAGTTTATGGCATTTAATAGCGGCTCACGACGGCCAGAATTATGATATAAAAATATGAAAATGTTTTACGGTTTTTCTTGTTTTGTTTGCTTTTTGAAAAGTTCTGCCGAGTTCAAGTATTAGTGGGGATTATAGGGGTCGTGTTCAATCAATCGTTTGCATTCATATGATATGTTGAATCAATACCATTATTTTCGATGCAAACATATGTAATGTATTCGTAAAATCTGGATGTCTTGGTATCTGTACTGTTAGTTATTTAAAGCTAAATTATTATATTATTAAATCCATATTTTTATAACCAAATATAACACTTCGTTCTCAATAAATTTTATGTTTATTTTGCTGAATTCAAACTTAAATGATTTCTATTTATTTTTTATGACTGAAACAAATTTCACTTCCAAGTCCCTTTCGGTTGTCTTAAGAGAAATTATGTACAATTATCTTGTGAAATTATGCACAACTTTATCTGCTCAAGTCCAAGTTTCAGGGGTTTGTGGCTTTTCCACTTCTTTCCCTTCGGACTGTCCTATTTATTTAGGACTTAGTTAACCACTTCTGCGGCTTCAGCAATCTTTACTGCCCACAGCAGTCGCATTATTTGCTCCAGCTCACTGCTGCATCCGTAATAGGATTCATTTATTCCCTTGCCTTTCACAAGCTGAATTCTCCGCATTTATTAAATGTAACTGAAACTGTTGTCGCAGTAAATATTCAAGGGACAAAGATACTCCCACAATGGCCGTAAACTGTAGCAGTTACACTGGGGCACAATGGACAGCGGTTGATGCATTTACTGCGGCTGCGGTGAGCGTTGTCAGTAAATAATTGTTGCTCAATTAGTAATGGAAAATGTGTTGCCACGCCAAATAACCAAGGACACATGAGGAAACTAAATGACAAAATTAGTTCCACATTGAATTCTTAATTGTGCAAAAAATTTCAACAATCAAAATATTATGTAAATTAATTTATTTTACTTTATTACTTATGGGATTGGGAATTATCTGTGTTATAAATAAAAAAAACGTCCGCCTTTTGCTAGTTGGAAAAATCATTTTTAAAAATAAATTAATTATAGCTTTTATACATTTAAATATTATATACATACATTATAAATATTCTTTAAATATATTTCATGGATTCCCTATTGTTCGATTACTGTGAACGGTTTCACTTTATAGCAGTGACATAAATCAATCACTGAGCTGTTCTTGCTCCAGCAGAGAGCAGCCCCAAAAGACGAATCAGTAGCACTTTTTCCACCAGAGGCAGGTGACGGCAGGCCGCAATTTTTCCTCACTCGGCGCTAATGAGCAGAAAGACGGTTGGAAAGTGCGGCGGGGAGTGGGGTCAGTGCGCCCACAGCAAGACAGTAAGTAAACGTTATAATTAAATTTACGGCGCAACATTTTAGGCGCAAACAAAAGTCAAAGGCCGGCTAGACAAGAAGAAAAGTCCGAGACACAGGCACTCTAGAGGAACAAACAGCGGCCAAATCAGTCAATGTTGCCTGTTTAGCTGTTTATTTCGGGGCTAAATGAAGTATTTTTAATATAAAATATAAAACGAAACTATAAGATTTTCAATATAAGTATGAGAAGTACTAAATAAATTAATTAATAAGGTAAATTGGAAATACGGCCAGTTTCTCAAATGGTAAACAAATTTTGAATGGAAAGTTAATATATAAGATATAAGAGATAAGTCTGATATAAGATATACTTTTAGTATTTGAAAACTCTGGAAAATGTATATATTTTCTTAGTTGTTCTAAAACTATAAAGGATTAATTTTAAGAGGCCACTTTTTGCTGTCCAATGCTGGCAGCACTGATTCCATCCCCTCGGATGCCACCCCCGGAGCTCCTGACCCCGTGCACGGATGGACAGCCCAAGGGTCCGCATTCCTTGGCGCCTCTATGTCTGGTCCTTTGGCTCTCCAGTTCTACAGCTCTCCTGGTCTCCATCTAAACATCCCTCCGGTTCCTTGGTTCATCCCCCTCGCGACTTTTGCTGTGTTGTTTGTGTATTGTGTCATTCCGGCTGGCAGACAGCCGACGCCACTCCCGTCGCGCAGTAACTTAGCTAGATTTACGTTTTTGATTAAATTTCATTTAATTTGCGCTTTCCCCGCCGCTCTGTTTGTGATTATTGTTGCTTTGTTAATTAACGGGCTGAGAGCTGGCTTGAAATGCGAGCAGCTCGTTAGCCAAGATTCTCGATGTCTTTTGGCCCCAACTGTAATTGATGTAATTGCTGCATTGTTGCCCTCTTGGATTTGAGCCAGAATGGATGGAATGCATCTCCTGGAGCACAGGCGGAAGTTTTTCCTGGAGAGGAAAGTATTGAGTGGATAAGTTCAATTCTTTAAGACTGGCTGGTGACCTGCCAGGATTTTTTAATCAAGATATCTAGGTCAGCTAGGTCATTGTTATTTCTCTAGGTTTTCCTATCATCGTGTGGGGATTGATAAATCTTTGCTTAATTTATGTCCTCGTAACAAGTTTTATTTATTACTGAACCGATAGGGATCATTGTGTTAAAAATATTTCTTTATGAAAACATATTATTTTTATAACCAGAAATGGAAGAGTGTCAGGCAAATTAAATTTATAATCTGTCTGTAAAAGACAGATAAGTGTCAGCCTGTTATAATACAATTTAAATAATTTCTATATCAATTAACTATCTTTGCTTTACTTTTAATTTAATTAAGGAGCCTTAGAAACACATCTGCTTAAAGTTAAAACTTTAACTTCTTCAAATTTGTATAGACTTTTTTATTTTGCATTTTTAAAGGAGCCTCCAATAATTTTCAAAGTGTACGTCCAAGTGTAATATATTTAAAGTAAACTTTTCGACTGATTTCAGGGCCCGTAGGCATCGTTAGTCCGGGTCATTGAGTCCTGTTCCTGTCCCTGGGATCGTCATTTCAAGTTGCTTCGAGCAGCGGCGGTCACTTAACGTAAACAATGGCCAACTAAATGGCCTCCCGTTCGCACAGAGAACATCTGTTCCCGCACCCCCTACCCCCCTGGACGGCGGACATGTGCTATATGGGCGAAAATCTGTTGGAAAATAAATGCTGTTTGTACAAGTGGAAACCATTAAGGTGGACTTTGAGTTATGACTGCCAGGCAGTGCACTTGACGATGAAAAATTTACCACAATAAACAGGCGACAGTCCGCCCAACTTGTTAGCCCACCCTGCCGGCGAAAGAACCCCTGTTGGCCCGCTTTTAGACAACAGTCAGCCATTTGGTCAGCACAATGGCTGTACAACAAAGAGTATAATAAAAGCGGGGCAAAAAAAAGCTATACTCGAAAACAAATTCACGCCAAAATGGACATGAATAAGTTGAAAGGCATTGAGAGGCGGCCCTGTCGCAAAAGAGGTGGCGCTGGGCGGGACTGCCGGGGCGGTACGGGTCGCTCGGCACGTAGTTAATATGACAATGGATGTGGTTGGCTGACTGCCCGGCTGCCAGCTGCTTTTTGCTGCCAGTCAACTCTTTTGCCTCGCTTGCCATTTCAATGCAAATTCCTTTCGGCGAGTATCTGTGTGCCTGGATATCGGTCGGTGGCGGAGCCACAGAATCGTCTTTTTGCCGTGTCCTTTGCCAGCTTTGTCAGCTCATCCCTGTGCATACTTGGCCCAGTTCTCTATTTGCCAGATCAACGGCCGTGCCAAAAGCATCCAGCCATGGAACAAAAGGTATTAATCGGCCAAAAAAATATGGCTGTACTATGAAGGTTTTCATTATGAAGATAAGGCAACAAAGAATGTAAAAGATCATAGGACCATGGTATCGAAGTAATTGGAGTTTCGAGGAACCATCTCGTTACATTTTTTTTTGGTATATAATAGACACTAGTGGGAGTTGAAAAAATATAAAATAATATATATTTTGAATTTATTTCAATTTAAAAATATATATCAATATTTTCAAAAGGGCCTTTAAGCGAAGAGGACTACTCTATATGTAAAGTTAAATACAAACCTTAAATGGAAATCAGCATTTCTTTATATAATATTTAAGAAAGCCACATGAAAATCTTAATAAAATATTAGACAATTGTTGTTCGAGGCCCCAGAAATCCCAGATAATTCGCTTGCTGACATAGTGGCCTCCAGGGTACTAGATAGTAACAAGAAATCCTCTTTTTACTTGCAAACTTAAGCACTTGCATATTTACTTGCATATTTACAAGGCCAAGTGAGAGACCAATGAACAACTGGCCTCGTTGCCAGTGTGTTCCATAAATATTTTATGATAGCTAAACGTTGCAGACCAACACAATGGGTTCTGGGGTGGGAGGATGTCTAAAGCAGTGACGGACTTAGGGGGGCTAAAGCTCCCACTTAAATAAATAAAATATTATTATTAACAATTGCTAACTTTTTATTTTAAATATACTCCCACTTATACCCCTGAAAACTATTCTCCGATCCGCTCCTGGCAGGCTGAGTGAGCAGTAAGATAAATGGAACGGTTAGTGGCTGTGGATTCTCTCTGAACTCTGAACATTTTCGGTGTCAGTTTGTGATTTGCGGTCTGACCAAACTGCTCTCTAATTGCCAAAGTCCATTGCCAAGTTCTGGGCGTGGACAGGACTATGGAGTGTCCTCGAGCTTTTTGCATAAGCAACATCCTCTCGCAAGACTCTCGAGCACCAGCCGCCAGTGTAAAGTATGGCCGGACATGGGGCCAAACTTTATGGCCAGCCATAATTGCGCTTTCAGGCGGATAATAGTTGTGGGACAGCTTGACAACACGAAGGAGCGGTCCTCGCACGTCCCGGAATTCCTGAGTAGTTAAAAATTGATAATATCCACCTATACAACACATCGGGGCAAACTGCTTACTTCGGCCGTCTCCGTTCTCCCCTGACTGGCAGCTTAAAAATTTATTCGGAGAACCACTTTTACGAGCCCGAGTGGGGACTTTAATAAAGTCAACACCGCCTGCCAGGAGGAAAGTGTTTTTGTGCAGGGAGGAGCTTCAGGTTATCGAAATACACTGACTTCCCAGTAGGTAAACCAAGATTATTGATTACATAGAAAGATAATCTAAGCCAAATATTGTTAATAGTATTTAGAGAATAAGTAAATTAAAAACACAATCCTATTTTGTTTGTCATGCCAAGACTTCTGTCTTAGTTTTCAGTTTCTTCTAAAGCAAGAAAACATCTGAGAACCAAACAATTGTAAGACTTGAAGAGGCTCTCGTTATATTAAATCGAGTGCACAGATTCAAATGAGGCTGTTGCCCATCTGATTGCATGCTCAGGCGAACCCTTAAGCACCTCCGACCCAAAAGTGTTATGTAAAAATACCAAATTCGAGTAACGCGAAAAGGGAGCCCACAAAGAAAGTTTGCTTGTGGCAACATCAGGCGGAGCAGCGCCATTTGGTTATGCGGTTGTTTCTACGTTGTTGCAAACTGTTGCTCGGGGCGCTTCTGGTGCGCTGATTATTAAAATAAAAGTAAAATAACGTGGAAAATGGTAGGGGAAACTGTTCGGCCCGTAATGAAAATGCAGAAGGCAGCCGTTTGGGTCTAGACACCTCCGACAGGCGGCTTAACGGCGAGGCGGAACGGTGGATGAGAAGACTCAAAGTGTCTTCAGATTAATATTTATGCAGGACGAAGCAGATTGCAACTGCTAACGGCCGAGGATCTGTGCGGCAATTTAAATTATTTAGCAATTTATTACGGCCAGCGGGCGCTGAGATGAAGAATTTCCTAATATGTCAGCACGATGAAATTCACTGGAAAATTGTGTAAAAATAGTTTGTACATATTTTTATGAAATTCCCCACTCCACCAGCCGTGCTCTGACAGTGGAAGAACTTTTAACTAAATTATGCGAAAGTTAGAATTTGCGGCGCGGGCAAGGGCCCGCTCTGGCTGGGTAGGATTTATGGTGGATGCTCGGGTATGGCAGGTGGCAGATGGCAGGTGCTAACTCACCTGGGGTGGAACGTCCAGTACCATCAGCTCACGTATGCAGGTGTCGCAGACCAGACAGTTTTTATAAATCTTCCGACGCGTTGTCGTCTGATGAGTCTTGGGAAAGTCATGGTAGAAAAATTGCTGAAAAGGAACAGGATGTGTGCAAAAATTAAATATTATTGCGTTTGTAAAATATTGCTCATGCGACACTTGGGACGCCAATAAAAAAATAAAAATGAATTTTCCATTTGGACTCCAAATAAAACCCCCCCGCTCAAAAGCAAGCCGAGCAAATATTGTTTCGCTTTTCCTATCGTACACTCCTTGCCTTCCGCTTCGCTTTTATTTTTATTCCTATTTATATTTCTATTTCTATTTCTATTTCTATTTCTGTGTTAAGCAAACATTTTATGTTAAATATGCGCTCTGAGCATTTGCATGAGGTCTTTTGACCAGTCACTGGCAAAAAACAGCCACACATACTTCATGGACATTTTTAGCTTATTAAAATTGTAAGCGCTTAAAAGTGTGCTATGGTCATGTGATCATAAAAACCACTGAAAAAGCAGTAAACAAACCCCACACGAGTCGCTTGGCAATGGTTATATGAGCTATACATGTGTGAAACGGAGCGTAGGATTGATTTAAGAGAAGTGTAATTAAATATGGTTTTGGCTTTGGGAGAGCTTAGTTTAAATAAGAAGCCTTGGGAAATTGTCTTTACTTTGGGTAGCTAGTATACGCGACTGTATAGGGTTTTTCTTTTTAGGACATTGGTTAACAAATATTGAAAATGTTTCATTTATAAAACTTTTTAAATCTAAGTTTAATGATTTTGATAAGTATTTTACTTCTTTAAAACCTATTAGTTATTTATGATTTTTAGTAACTTATAAATATTATTTAACTTGGGATTCTGTATATTTATATCTTTCAAAACCTATTAGACATTTATTTATTACATAATTTCCCAGCTTTCTCGTGCTCTATAACAATTTTCAATAAACTTCTTATAATGCCCTTTCACTTAAATTTGTTAATCAATTTTTAGACCCCCAATACTGCGCTTCACCAGCTCTCTTAAGCCTCAGTAACGGGCCATAACTCTAATCCAAAGCTCATAACGCACACGCGGGACTTTTTTGGATTTCGTCCTGCAACGTGGTCGAAATGACCCCATTAACCCGCAGCCTCTCTTATTGGGTCCTTGGCTGGCTTTTGGTACCCGGGAACCCAAGGAGACGGAGTGGCCAAGTCGAATGGCAGTCAAAGGAAGGGAAGCATCCTAAAAATAAAGCCAAGGCCGGCGAGGGCATAAAATAAAATACGCTTTGTAAAAAAAAGATGATAATGAAAGAAGGGAAAATGGGGCGGTTTGGGGATGTGCAGATTTTGATTGTGGCTGGCTTTCTGTGTGTGTTGAGGAGTCCTCGCAGTGGGTATCAATGCATGAGCTGAATGAGTGACAGGCTCAAAGGATATTTAACGCCTGATTGCATTTTAAAGTGATGTCTTGTCCTCCCGAGGAGCCATCGCCAAGATTGCCAATTCACGATTATAGTTGATTGCGTATGTGCACAGAGAGAAATGGATTCATTTCAATGTTTTTGTATTTTTAATATTGTAGATAATTCCTACTTTAAAGCAAAGAGAAAACTTCCTCCTTTAGTACTAAGTTTATATATCGAAAATATTTATAAAATAGTCCCAAATTAAATATATTTAAATATATGCACACCCCAAGCAGATCCTTCATTTAACATGAAGTTTTCGGTATCATCTACAACGTTTTTTCTGCGTGTAAATGTGTGATAAGTCTGGCTAATAATAGAGTCAAGTGAAAATCATTCGGGACTTCGTTCACGATCCCCTCTGCGCGTCTAATATAAATGCAAATGCCTTTCTGCCAATCAGCACAGCCATTGTTGTCAATGCAATGAAATCAGCTGCAATTTATGCGCACTACGATTCAATTACGCGGCACCGAAAAGGAACCAACGGAGCCGACCAAGGCCAGCCACCGGAAGCGGAAGTGGCCGCATTGGGAAGCCATCTTGGTCTTAAAGCTGGAATGCTTTTAGCAGAGACAATTTAAAATTATATGCTTTTCCCATGGGGCCTTGGCATAGGGGTCAGATCGAAACTCGTGGCAAAGACTCCGCATCGCAACGCATCACATCGAAGCGCATCGCATCGCATCGCTTTTATGTCCCAGCTCCGCATATCATTGAGTTTTATTTTTATTGAACTGGTAATTGAATAAGAAATGACATTGATGGCCGTCCCATCGCCGTCTGTTCCGCGGCCTCCAGGTCCTGCTCCCAGTTTCCAGTTTCCAGTTAACAGTTCCCCAATTCCGTGCTCCTTGCTCCGGGTCGTTGGCGTTGTCGTGGCCGGCTTTGCGCCTCTTTATGCTTCCTGCTGGCCCATAAAGTGTGCTACATTATCTGGGCCATAAATAAGCATGCCGGGCACCCGAGGAGGAGCTTCTTCCAAATTTACCCAAATGGATATTCATGGCGTACTCTTTATTGATATGATGCACTGCGTTTTATTTCCCGCGTTTATCTGCCGGAATTAGTGAAGTTTATTCGAAAATATAGGCAAGCAGTTTAAGCTACGAAATAAAGTAGCCGAAAAATGAGTATAATGAAGTTGAGTTTGGAAATTAGCTTATAATGCTATGTGGCGTGCTTTTATTACAAAAAAGAAAAGACTTTCAAATAAACGTAATTGTTTGAGTCTTCGCCGTATTTTCATTAAATAAAAATAATAAATTTTAAAGTAATCTAGAATAGGACACCTCAAAAAATATAGGAGAGGTAACCTTACAAGTTTAGCTTTAAATTTCTCTTGGTTAGTGATTCTATCAAGCGGTTTTAAAGGGTTGAAGCTGACTTAAAAGGCTCCTAGAGTATTAAAATAAAAGAGTATTACGTTTACTTCTGACTAACTTAATGCTCTTGCAGTTCGCGTAACTGCTGAACAACAGCAAAAAACGATCGTATCGATGTGTTTTATTCTGATATAACAATTATGTGATTTGGTTTCGCATGTTTTTGTTTACATGCCCATTACATTTACGCGGCAATAAACATTTTGGAAAAGTCCTAGCCGGCACCCTCCGCGGGGCATTCCCCTGGCCATCTTGACCGCAAACAGCCATTAAACGGGACGTAATTGATTTTGCAGTGCTTAAAATGCCATAAAAATGCACAAATCTCGCATTACACACAATAAAAGGCGTCCAACGGGAAACAGGAAGCTGAGCCATGGCGGGAGGTAGGGTCCGGAAGTTGGACAAGGGAGCTTAGGCGAACCTTGGGGGGAGGGAGGGTCGGATTGCGTTCGGTTGGGTCCTAAAAGCTAGCACACACAGACTGGCAGAAATTAAACGCTGCTGTAAAGCGCACACACAGACAGTCAGACGTATGGAAAATAATGGAGAGAGCGCAGCAAATGGCAAAGCGGCCAACTCGCAACTGCCAACTGCAGTTAATTGAATTTGCCGAGCGGAGAAGGTGAAAGGCGAGGAAAGCGCTGGAAAATACACCCGCTTTCCATGTCGAGGCTAATACACTTTTTTTGAAAACAATTTCCGCTGCCTTGGCAAGTGTACATCTCTTTTACGTTTATGTCATATTTTTACTTTATTTATGAAATTTCCGGATGTCAGGTAATGCTCATCGTCTTGGCCTGTTAGAGGCCACATGGCGGATGAATAATATTTAGCGACATTTTTTGCGAGGCGGTGAATTTAAGTAAACTTATTTATTCCTTAAGGTATCTGAATCCTATTTTAGTCTGCTCTTACTAGTTATAATCAAAGAATCTCCTTAAGATGGTATTATTTCTCCTTATCAATATAATATATTTAGATGTACCTTAATCTAAAACCTTTTCTTTAGTTCCTTTTATCAGAGACAAAATGAGTGCAATTGCCGATAAGCTCCCTGGCCAAGGTAGAGAGAGCGATGCTAAACACATATGCACCGACTTCCTAACGCTGTGCCTTGCCATTGTCTAATTACAAAAGATAAACCACAAAAGATACGATGCGATGCGGAGCGCAAATCAAATTAACGACGCACCCACACGCACACAAATGCAATTAGCAGAGCGAGGAATAAGTGTGTGTGAAGGACGAAGTGGGGGTCGTGTTTGGACGGGGCTGTGGGTAAAAGCAGATCCCCGTTTTATAGGTAGACGGAGCACTAAACATTGGCAGTTGCCGTGGGACTGGTCCATTAAAAAGTTCCCGGCTAAACTTTTCAGCTTTCAGCGGGGTCGCCTATATTGCCCATTAATAATTTAGAGTCAAGCCGGGCCAGGAAAAGTGCAGCAGGCGGCAGTCATCCCGCTGGATTTAGCCTTTTACGTGTATTTGGGGAACTTTTAATCAGGAATTGTGTTAATTGAAAATGCAATTTATTATTGAAAAATTAATTAATGCGACTGGGCAACACAGGACTCCATTCTATCGGGTTGCCGCTGATTGGATTGGATTTTGTTTGTGGGTGGGATGATACCGAACATTAATTTTAATTGCATCACAAACTGAAATGCACTTAACAAACATTTAAAATTTTCATTGGCGATATCGTATTAATTACATCAATTAAGCGTCGAAGTTCGATAGATGCACTTTGATTCTTGCAAATCGAAACCAATTAATTTACATCATTGGGTTGACTTTAATTAATATAATTAGGCAAAGCGCAGTGTTTGCTTGCTAATTAAGAAGGACTAAAGCAAACATTTTAAATAAGAAATCAAAATATTTTGTTGGTCTAAGAAAGAGATAACTAATCTTTTTTTATTATTTATTCAAAAATTCGGATTGAATATCCATTAGTCATCAAATTATAAAATATTGTAAATGTTTATATAACAGTAAATTCAATTGGGTTTAATAATAATATAATCAATATTGAAACCCACCTGTAATATGCTTGTTTTGCCGACGCCAGTAGCCCCCAAAAAAGCGGCTTTAAGGGGGCCCTGCAGCCATGGCGGCTCCGCACCACCCTCCAGAGTGATGCGCTATGCCGAAATGCACTTATTCTGTATATGAAGCTCCATTTCAATTGAGATCTTGGTTGTGCTCGCTGCCGCTGTGGCTGTGGCTGCAATTGCGGTGGCTTTGGCTTTTGATCCTTTGGCTCCTGCTGCTGCTGCTGGTGCTCCTGTTTTGTTAATGCCTGCTGCTGTCCTTGCACAATCACCGACATAATCAACGCTTCGTGTGCTACCGATCAATAGTTTCTTAGAGTTGGTTGGCGATATTGTACTACTCCACATTATATTATTATTATAATTGCTAATAGTATTGTTGTTATTTCGCAGCTTTAACGACGCCAGCTTGACTGATTTTTGGGGAACGCGTTTGGTTAGAAGTGAATGTCCTTAGGCGAAGCAACTCTGAGCATTGAGTTATAGAATTAAGCGAGGATAGAGTTGCAGTGAGATGGGCAGCGGTTCCTTATTATGGCAAACGGGTTCTTCATTAATTACTGTAAACAAAAGAACAAATTGTATCATTGTATTGTATATTTTATGGCTAAAAGAGGTATTATTTATAGATGGTCAAAATATTAGGCATCCTTATTAAAACTTAAATATCGTTTTAAGAGCCATTTGCTCAAATATAATCCTTGCAGAGAGGGTTTCCAGGTAATCCTCTGAACTTATAATTGATAATTTTTATTTTTTTTTTATTTTATTTATTATTTTTTATTTTATTTATTATTGAATAATCAAAATTTCAGTTTGTTTGAGTTCAAAACAAAAGTTATAAAAGTAAAAATCAGTAATCGTTTAAACCCAAATAAAAAATAACTAAATAAAGTAAAAAAATATTATTTTTAGTCGGAACACACAAAAAAAAAGGCGTAAAAAAATTCAAGTCATAAACATGGACCACAAAAGACAAGAAAAATCAGAATGACATAAGGCTACAAATAAATTAAAGTAAAGTCATATTATTTTTAGTCGGAAACACAAAAAAAGAAGTAAAAAACATAAGAAAAATCAGAATGAGAGAAGGATACATATAAATTAGTACAGAAAAAAGTAGTACACAATGTGTATCATAAAAATGGAGGTAAAAAACAATCAAAACTTTAATCAAGTCAATAACATAACCCAAAAAAGATCAGAAGAAGCAATCTGACAGTTACTTTAAAAAATAAAGCATAATAAAAAAGAGAATAATTAAAAATAAAAAATAACCAAATAAATTAAAATAATATTCTTTTCAGTCGGGAGTACAAAAACGAATGAGCCACGGCAGAGGAGCTGATATTTATACGAAAACTGACTCAAAAAAAGTGACGGGAAAAGCATGCTGGCCATGTCAAAGCAGTTTCAGGTATGGATGGTGGAAAATATTGATATATCGATATTTGACCGATATTTTAACGGTCAAACGAAACGTTATGTAAAACCAAATTATAAATTATAATTTTTAAATACATAGACCAAAAATCATAAATTTATGTGTTAAATATAATTGATAAAAGGGTTAATCAGCTCAGTAACATTTATGGAAATGTTTTCAACACAATTGATAATAAATTTATAATTATAATTTTTTATAATAAATTTTTAGCACAGCGTTTTCACATTTGTAATAAAGTATATGTAAAATAAGAAGTATCAAAGCTATTGCAGGTTTTCTCACCTCTAATTTAATTCAGAAATTGTTGTTGTGCAGTTTATTTAACACCCATCTGCTATTTTATGATTATGCCGCTTTATATGGAGTCCATATGCGGCCAATAAATTCAGGATACGCATCAATTGCCACGAACATACCTTCCCATTTCAAAGAATGTCAAGATTGATTGTGAAATTATAATTTAAATGGCGTTTCAAACCAATCTGATGGCTACAATGGAATAAACACAAATCAATGGCCATCGAATAAATTGCCAAAATGACGGCGAAAGAAATCGTTTTGCGAGACCGAAATGCTTTCGTGGCAATCAGCCCGAAAGCTGCTAACTAAATTTATTGAGTCGCCAGCGGATATTGCACATTGATTTCAGTTTAATAACATAAATATTGTTTGGGCCCTCGCCCCTCGTCCCCCGCCCGCTGATTTTGTTTTTCTGCCCCCCGATTTTGTGTTTCTCCTTCGGGTCTCTTTGCATTGCCAATAATAAATTTCAAATTTCACATTTCACTTCCGCTGCACAACGGAAGTTGATTTCTGGCTCTCGCTGGCTGGCCCAAGGGCTCATATTCTTATGGCCTATTTTTTGGGGAAAATGAAAAAAGCGTACAAAAAGAAAAACATTAAGTGAGGCGTGAAAAATGTTTGGCAATTCTCTTTTTCGTTCCCCGTATATACGAATATACGGTGTGGGGGCGAGCGTCTCACCACAGTGTGCATGTAAATTACACGAGAGCAGATTTATAATTAGAAAAGTTTTGGAAAATTAGATTGGGCGTTGATTAACGTTAAATTTCGGGGGCTTTGAATGGCTTTTTAAAGTTCAGCGCGCAGAAGGCGCGACTCGGAGTTGGCTTAACCTTCAGCATTTGCGCCTACTCCTAATTAGTTAGACATCTGCCAACAGCTCCATCTATCATCTATCACCCGTCCTCGTCCTCGCAACGCCCCGCACTCCGCCTGCCAGGGCAAACTTAATAAATTTAATAACCGCAAAATATGCCGTGAGCGAAATGTACGGAGACAGGGTGCTAAAAATGCCAGACAACCATCACATCGTTGGCCTATTTATAACCCACATCTCCATCAGTAACCATCCTCCACCTTCGGCATTTCCTCGCCATATCTCCCACCGAAAAATCATGCGTCATCGAGACGACGCCCACACCTAACCGGCCACGTATTGTGGGGATGCCAGGAGCAAGACGCGGCGGCTGATTTGATTTGATCTGATATGATTGAGAGCGTCGCCAAGGGCAGGACTTAAGCGGCGCCCACACACAGGGAAGCCACCGAGAGCCCACTGAGTCACTTGCTATTTTCGGAGGCGTAGAATTCTAGAAGCCCATTTCTTTATGCTGACACTCTACTTGAGATCTTCTAAGAAGGTTTTAATTAAATATAAAAAAATGTAAAGTAAAGTAAACTGTATAATTATGGGATTTTATTCATGTATCATGTGGGATTTTATAAATTTCTCTTTTTAAATAAAATATAAATGACCTTAGAAATATTTCTGACGTTGCCTGTACTTCCGCCCACACAAAGTCATCATCCCTTCAACTAGGAGTACATTTGCATATTCGCTCGTAAATCTGAGAGTAACTTGCCAATCGAACCCCTAGTTCATGGTGGCAGCTCTAGCACTTTGATTAGATTCTGCCGGGCGAAGTAAATTTAATTTGGGAAACAACACATTTGGGCAGGCCATCTTTTGGCATTCCGAATGGGGTGCGGATGGTCTTTGTCTTGGATATTTCGGTATTTCGGCGCCGCCTCCAGTCGTCAGGCCGAATTCATACGCCCCGTGGCCCAGTTGATTGATACGCTCTCAGCGAGCGCCGAAGGACGTAAACAAGTTTCTGGGCTGAGGTGAGCGGCTCTGTGGAGACACAAAACCTTGGCAATTGAAAACTTTCCACTCTTGGCAACACTCCAAGGCTCAGGAGTCGGCTTCAGACCCGGAATCAAAGCCAGACAATTGTAGCACGGTTATTGTGTGTATTGCCGCTGTGTATATTGTAATGCTTTTATCTGCCACCCACTCGAGCCTCTGTCAGCACTGTTTGTGCTCACAGGCTCACGCAGTCTGCTCGCTACGAGTTTTCCGACTTTTCCGAACCTTCCCCAGTTCCGGGTCCGAGTTCGACATCGACCATTTCATGGCCTGCCTGCCTTGGCTTCCTCCTTCTTTGCTGTTGTTTTATGCCCCACTTCCGCGACCCTCGCCTTTGTTTGTGCTCAGTGTTTTTTATGCTACGTGCCACTAAAATTTTATTGGTTTATTTATTGTTTTTAGAGCAACTTGCTACAGTTGTTTCGCTGGCGGCTCCGGGCTTTCCTTTTATGCGCACTGCATTAAGCGCTTAGCGGGAGACAATCAATTAAAAGTTTTAGCCATTTTAATTGCTGGATCCGCGCATTGCTTATTCAAAAAGCCCCTTTGGACAAGGTTTATGCAAAGAATAATAATGTAAGGCCAGAGCAGGTCGTTACATGCAAATCAAATATGTGTCAAAGGAGCTGTGCTAGCACCTAAATCCCTGTTGGGGCCAACTATTTGGACTGACATCCTGTGAATGGAGAACAAGAAGGGATTCGGAAAAGCACAGTTGAAATAAAGTTTGTGCCAAGATGTTAGCTTAAAAGCCTTTTTTATTTGAACTAGACATTGGAAATTCAGAAATTTAAAAGATTTAAAATATATAATATATGGTATATTATTTTTATTTTCTATATTTAATTTCATTTACAAATCCCTGGGTGTATTTCCTGGGCCTCAGCTTGAAGATCATGACTTGTATCTTTCTATCATGATCTTTTTGAATTAAGTTGACCTAAGCTAAGATTTAGATAAAGAATATTTTCTCTTAGTGCTGCTGGAAGAGGCAGGAAGAACGTGCAAATCTGCATATGTACATATGTGTCCTGTAGACAAACGGAAATGAAATGTGTGACAGTCGATGGCAGCGAATGGCAGCTCTAGGCGGATATTGATTTCGGTGTGTGTACATGGACGGTGGCAAGAATAGGAAACATTTACCTTCATGTTGGCTTACAGGGGCAAAAAAATAAGCTCAATGTTGAATATAATGTCAAATCAATGTTTGTGCCAGGCTCAACGAGTTTGAATAACATTTGTGCTGGCAACTGGGAACATTTCAGCTCGGAAAAAAAATCGTTTCTTGTCCCAGTCTCAACCATTAATTATACGCAGCCATCAGTTTCTGACGCTCCACCTTCTTTAAGCTTTTAATTAGTATAAATTAACCCAAAAACTCTTAAACGCACGCAGTATACCCAAATGAATGGCCACCCCTTTCTGCCATCCTGCCATTCGTTGCGTAATCCATTCAAAACTAGCTAAACAAAGCAATTTGCGCCGTAAGCTGCGACATTAATTCAAATTATGATGGGAATAAAGCAAAGCAGAGCGCTTAATCAAAACGCTTAAGTGAATCCTTGGCAGCAGGCCGGAGGAGCCAGAAAGCGATGACTCGACTCCCTGGGAAGACGATACACTTTATGTCATTTGCATTTTAAGCACCCCGCTCCCATCCAACCTGCCAGCCTGCCTCCGTCCTTGCGCACGTTTCACTTTTCCCCTAAACACGCAAGTTTTCTGTCGCAGCCTCAGTGCGTATTTCATACAAGCTAATTTTTTTACGATTATATGCGCTTAATAAACGCCAACGCCCGTGGAGCTGCTATGAGGGATATCATGGAATCGGGACACCGGGACACCGGAGTCTCGGGGCATCTGGGTCCTTCCCCATCTTCATTCTCATGCTCGGCCCGGAATCCGTCCGGACACGTGCTGTGCCCA